CCATTTCTCTGTAGACTTTTCATACATTTTATATTCTATACAGTGTTCAGTACTCACAATACACGGAAATAACCACAAGGACTAAACTAACTGTCATAATATTTGTATACATTTCCCCTGTTTCAAAAATATATACATACAAAAAAAAGAAAATCTAAAAGTAACTGATTTCTAATGTTCGAAAAATAAAATATGTATTTTTATGGATATAATTGAAATTAAAAAAAATATGTATTAAACGTCCATTGATAAAATTAATAAAACAGAATATATTTTATGAGGGTATAAAGAAGGGAAGCAAACCCCCTTTAAGTCGGTCCTATATACTTTTAAGTAGCTTTAACCCTTTTTTATACATTTTCTCAGAAACAAAAATGTAGCCTATCTCTGAGTATCTATATAGTTGTATTATGGTAGTACTATAACGTATACGAACATGTAATATTCGAATTAAAATGGGACAAGTTTTATATCAACAAAATCGAAAAAACAATATGAAGTATCTAAGTAAAGTGACAATCAATAATGCTCGCAGATACACTTGTTGTTATCGTCAACTACAGCTGTCAAAACCCATAAGGCATTCCTCTACATAAAACGTGCACCGCAATTGTAAGTTTGTCAAGTACAATTTTTGAACTCCACAGAATATTTGTAGACTCTGTTGACGTTTGTCAGCCGCTTTCGCAGCTGTGTCTGTGCGAGGACCACTACACAACAGTTACAACTGTATTAAACTAATTGTGTGATTATGTCTTGTAACAGCGCTATACTTACAACTGCTGTAGGCTGAAGCTCCACGGGCCGGTCAATTTTGAGTGTAACATTGTCAACACCCACTTTGGTTGTGCCTATAACCAAACGCCATAATAAAATAACACTACAACGCCTTAGCTACAGAGAAAACTCAAATTTGAGTAAACCATGTGGCTGATGATCATAGTAAACCGTCACCGATATTGTGGGCAATTTTATCATTGTGATTATAATATTTTGATGATTTTACAATAAAAATAATGTATAATATTTTAAGTATATTTAACGAACTCGCGCAATAAATTCCCAAGCGTTGTGTCGTACTGCGTGAAAGTGAAATATCTAAATTATTATTTATGAACAAGGACGTTATGAACTTGAGCCCACATTAAAAAATCTATTATTTATTACCGGCATAGTGCCTAGAGGAAATATATTAATATTTTCTTGAGTTCGCATTATATTACATTTAGTAGTATTATTAAAAATATTATTACATAAGTGATTAAGTGATAGTTAATTGTCATTGACACCAATTTTCTTATTCAAAAATGTGTCCTATGCTTTCCTTGTATCCTAACGAAAATTAAAAAAGGTAACAACGCTGGTATATCCGATCAAGCACCGATTAAAAATATAAGAAACTGTTATTCTTATTATAAGTTATATTATGATTGTTTATAAAATTAAAATGTGTATTTATTGTAAAAGCTAAAATAATTACTCTTTGGATTAGTAACGCCTAATACATGGTTAATAAAGTAATAGACAACTTTTCAACTAATAAGAACACACTATACCTTAAATATAAATTAAGATTTTGCGAAAAATTTTTCTACATTACTTCTGAATAAATGGGTGGGTAGCGTCCTCTTCATATAAGCGCCTAATTTAAACTATAATATTATTTTACTTTCTGTTCAAGAACCCATCATTTCTCTACTTTCATCTCAGAAATATATATCTACCCTTCCTAAGCATAATTCTTAATTTCTTAGTACACTTCGTTATTTAAATAAATCTAATGGTAGTTTTTTGAAACCATTTTGTCAACGACTTGATGGACGCTACTCTTACTAAGCAAAATTTTTCTTACTTTAGCTTCCAGGCAACAATCACCCAGAGTACCAATGTAATAATTTTTTTTTAAATGCAAATAAAACGCAGATCTTGGAAATGTACTTACGGAAAAATACAAATGTCAAGTATTCTCCCATTAGATATACAAATAATTATATTTATTTTTAATGAGACTTTAACCGAAAATGTAGTACTTTTGTACCGTCATCATTTATGAATCTACATTTTGTAAAGAATGAAAGGGTAACGCGACTCTTATATATTTTTAATTTGATTTTATTGTAACATAATTTAAATATTAAAATAAGTTTTAAAGATCATAATCAAAATATGTGATTACATTTTCCTTTTTCTAAAAATATGTTGTTATTTATAGAATAGAATATCTCCATCGTAAAGGCTAAAACACCGATTTTCTATTTTATTCATAGGTATGGAAGTATAATTTTCTAACCTAACCAAATGCACTTTATATACTACTTTTCGTCAAGTAAAAATGTATTTCTACAAAAAAAGGTCACTTGATTGGAGAGTTTTTTTTTTTGGTTTTTTCAATTAGGCAGATCAGGTAAATAATGCTTTGATCTTTGTGTTTGCATACAAAATGAATTATTTTTTTATTGTCTATCGCATTCATACATATACTTTCCGGCTTTTGAACGTTCATAGACCAACCATAGATGTATGCCTACTATATGAACTGTTCACAATGGAACACTAGCCTTAACGAGTCGCTGCACTGGTCCAACCTCGATTTCAAATAACAGCATTTGTATACATTAACAGTGTAGTTTTTAAATCCAATTACTTTTTTATGTAAAGAACGCTCTTTGCTAATCCACCCACCCCTCCATGGCGCAAGTTTTCCAGGGACTTCCTTTTTCACAAGCTATTTTCCTCCGCCACTCCCCCTCAATTAGCGTTTATCCACTTGTTATACCTATAACGTATGAATATTGTACAATGGTGACCTTAAGTGTTCTTCAATTAAATTTTGTCCGAGTCAACAGCCAGCACGTTAGTTATACTTAAAGTTACCTACCGCTTGAGTATTATTATAATGCAATATAATAAAACACTTTGTGAACTAATATTGACATTTGAAATCATGTACTTCGTGTGTTATATGGTTGTTTCTCTTAGTGTTTTTTTCAATTACATTTAATATGAACATTATTTTATACACGAATTATATTTTTATTAAATTTTAAGTTTAGTTAATTAAACTTTAAACAAAATAAGGTAGTATATATAATGACTAATTGTCTCTCCCAAGTATTTTGACGTTTAAATTTGAATGGATGGATCATAATAGCAAAACAATTTTAAGTATGTACCTAATTATATAATGCGTTAACAATCTTTACATGCAAAAAAGTAAAAATTAACTAAAATAAAGTCTACAAATTACATTTAAGTACTAGTACCGGATACTAGCCGATTATAATTTCATGTAAAACCGAATTACCACTGTGTAACAAAACTAAAGAATTTCTATACACTCATAATACATCCATTTTGTAAAATTTGTATTGCTTAACCTGAAGATAATCTCATATTTTGTAAAACAAGTTATAATTTTTTTTTGTAAACCACTTCTAAAATTCTACAAAACAAGATTTTATTCTATTTTAAAAGTATTGTAACTAATATAAAAGTGGTTTTGTGATTTTAATAAGTTCTCATCTGTTAATAAGAACTAATCACTAAATTATTTTATGGTTGTAAAGTTTTGTCTTATACCAACCGCAAGAGCAGCCGACTGGCGACTACTTTCCGAGTTCAGTGTCTCTAGTTAAATAAAATAATCTCAACTAATCACAAAAATGTCTAAGTGTCTAAAGTGTAATAAATAAAAATATAATTAATGAAGACAGAAGACGAACTGTTCAGCTTGTGTAATGGTTTTTATTAAGGCTGTAAAGGATTAAATTGGTTAAAATAAACCTAATAAATTCGCAAATTCAAACGATTATTCAAGAAATCGATAAATTTGGTAAATTTATGAGTCTTAAATTTTAAGAATTTAATGAAAAACATTTACAAAATCTTTGTAAGGAAAATATAGAACTTGTTAAAAATTAAATTTAAAATGCAATTATTTTAGAGACATCAATTATTGATATCTATCAATTACTCTATCTTCATACAAATCAGTCTTATCATTATAAATACCCGAGTCCTAAACTAACCTAAAACAATAATATTGATGTAAAACAAATTTGAAATAATAGGCAATAAAAGAGTAGTAAAAGTTATATGAAATGATATATTACCTGCAGTCTGCAAACTGTATTAACACCTAACTAGAATTATAAACAAATACAATAAAAAATACTAGCCAATAAGCAACCATTAATGTATAAAAAAACAACTAAGTAAATTCCCCAAAACATGGATTACTAGTACGCTGAACATAATATACTAATAGTATACTAAATATCATTTTTTTTAAATAATATTTACAATATGTACATAAAAAAAATATACAATAAGAAAATATGCTAACAATGTTAGTAAATGACTTGTAGACTACGAGTAGGGAAGCTTATGATCTTCAACTAGTATTTTAAAATGTACAGAAATAATTTAAATAAAATTCTTAGTAAAGCTAAATTAAATTTTTACGGGATAAAAGGTAAAGTACTCTCCCTATTGCTATCTATCATACTCATATAAGTTACTAAAATAAGTATAAAGCATCATGTATAATTTTAAACATTTTTAAAGTTCTACTTGAAGCCGTCAAAGAATTTTGTTGAGTTATCAGAAGGAAATAGTAAATTTATAGTTCTTGTGTATAGCTTTGTACAATTATTTGTATTAATTAGTTTTTTTTAAGACAATTTGTAAAGAGTTTTACTGTTAATATGTACACCAGCTTCTTAGAACAATTAATTGTTTGATACAAGTCTGGGTTTATGGTAAATTATTTTTAATAGGTCGTATAGTGCTAATCTTGTTGTATGTTGTAATTGTGACTAGGCAGCGCTGCCCATTATTTCGTATTCTATTAAAGACAGTAATAATGTTTAAGTATTTTTTAACCAGCGAATACAGAGTGCTTCATTAAGGATACGACACTATTTCTCTTAAAATAATTACAGTTTTGTAGTTTTTTCAGAGCTATATCAACAAAAAAATAAAATAAATAAAAAAACTGGTTTATGATGATTGTTTTATAATCTCAAATAAAAACACATTAAAGATATAGGTTCAAACAACAACGAACAATAATGGTCATTTGTTTCGTCCGTACACTTACTGTTAGTATTAATACTTTACATACAAATTATTATTTTCTACAAAATACCACCGTTACACGTCTTAAAAATGGTTTGTAAAAAAGAAAGTCTGACGAAAATTTTAGTACAAAACGCTATTGTTTATATCACATAAATATATAAATAATAACTTATTAAATTTGAATTGTGTAATTAATGAAATATTTAGTAAAAGTTTTTTCTAATATTTTATTAACATTAAAGAGAATTACAGCTGTTTATAATCAAACACATTTTGAGTATAACAATAAATAATTCAAAAATTATTGCTAGACTGAATTACGCAAACAAAATTACTATTACCGAATGGAAAACAATCGATAACTGTATTAAAAAAAAACTTATCTTATCTTATAATACATTGTAGATCACAAAACGCGCTTAAAAAAAATGAATGACTCGTTTAGAAAAAAACAAATATTATTTTAGGTATATAAAAATTACAAACGATTGACAATAACAGCTGCCATATAACATAGCTATTAGTATGTTGTTAGCCAAAACAGCAAACTTAAAAACGTTATCCCATATTTTGTACTTAATATTGTGAAAGGCAAGTATTATAGTTTTAGTTTTATATATAAGATTATATAATAATAAGTATGTAAAAAAATATTACGATATATTTGAATATAATATTCAGTTATTATGTAAATATTTTTTAATAATAAATTATATATATATTATATTATAAATTATATATATATATATCCTTATCACAGTGATGTAAATACACTAAATAGTTACACGTAGATGATTAACAAAAAAAATAATAATAACAATAATGAAACACACAACACACACCTAACAATCTAAAACGGACGTACGCTATTATAATATTATTATGGTGTACACCCGTTGGTGGGAATTTGGTATAGGATCAATTTAATGACTAAAGTTAAGATAAAACAACATAATAATAATAATAATAAAAACCGTAAAAAATAATAGATATAATATCAACGATACAATAACAATAATTATATAAAAGTGGGTTTTAAATGAAATTAAAAAATATTAAAAATGTTATAATTATTTTTTATTGTTTGGACAATACGTCATCTGATTTACACAGCTGGCCAGTTAACACTGCTGATCAGAATTAATAGTTACACTCGTTCGGGGGTCCGTGAGCGCGTATTGTACGCTCGTATCATGTCCGACTGGCTGACGGCACCTCCTTCTTCTTGTGAAAAAGCGAAACCATCTAGAAAAACAACAACCAATCCGTCAGCATGGCCCACACCTGTCGTATTTCGATGACCACGGGAAAGGGAACGTGCTGAACCATTTTTTTAAAAAAATTTGTACTATTTACTTCAAAAACCCGTGCAGAAAAAACCGTTGTCCGTGCACAAGTACTTTTGTGTTCAATTATTAGAAATAGTATAGAACAAAGATAAATAGTATACAACAAGGATAAAACTGAATTAAAAAAAAAACAAAATTAAATATATTCTACAAGTCCTTCTCAAATTCACTTACGGTTCATTTCGACATCGCTGTTCGATTGTAACCGAGATTTGAAATTGAAAACATTTTTAACGTTCTTAAGCAGAAATGCCTTTTCATTTGTTCTAAAATAAACAAAAATAACAAACGTGCACATATTTTATTATCATACGGTGATCGCATTAAAGCCAAGGGACAAAAAATAAAATAAACAAATTAAAGCTTTTTCCAGTTTTTGCTCTAAACGGGTATCTAATAAAAGCGGTTGCACGCTGCAATTCAAAATATTTTTCAAACCATGAATGGGTTACTGGTTAGTATAGAATGACCCCAACGCAAAATATCCAGAACACAACAAACAATTACAACCAATAATTTAAAAATGTAAACATATCAAAAAATATTTATTAGCAAACTTTTTTTTTTTTAATGTACATAGTATTTAAAATCCTTAGAAGCACACTAGGTATCACAACAATTTACACAAACCTATGTTCCCGTATATTAACGGTAATTGGGTCTGTTTTGTGTAGTTCACTTTGCCGGAGTGCCTGAACAAGACTTTTGCCGAGAGTCTCTTTGAGTCTGAAAATAGGTTTTGAATATTATGTAATTTAATTTTGTCCATACAAGCAGATTACATAATGAGTTTGTAAATAATTTTACATGACAAAATATAAAATTTACACCTTAAAAATACTTACGATAGAATGGTCAAATCAAAACTCAAGACAGCGAATGGAGTAAATAGGAGTAGTGCCCAGAACATAAGTGATGATAACACCATTGTATCCATACCGGTGAAAATAGCGCCAACAGGCATTATTGGCCAAATGTGACTGAAATAAATAATGATAATAATAATGTCATCACGACAACTAATAATAATTAGTGTTTGGAAAGTATGTGTTCTAATTTTGTTACCATCTCAGTGAACGCGTTAATTAAATAGAGAATGATGTATAGCACCATGTTCAAATTTTTAATAAACATGAATATTTATTTAACATTTTATCATCAGTTAATTTTTTTAATGTTCCAAACACTGCTAATAATAATAAAATATACAACATTGTATTATACAACTCACCTGTATGCTACTAAAAATATAAACCACATTATGATGGAGCCCCAAATGGCGATGTGTACAATAAAAGACCACGACTGTATGTGTAGGCCAGCTTTAAGGCACACCACAATGACGACATACTAAAAAGCGTAAAATATATTAACATTAAAACTCAACAAATAAAAATTATCATAGAGGTGTTATTGAATGTCACAACTGGATTGTCTACACAAAACTTGACAAAAAAATAAGTAAAACCTTTGAATTTTTAATTGTTTAATATTAAGTAATTTGGCTAATAAAATATTTTTTTTTTTAATTAAACAGAAGCCGATGAAGAAAATGACCGGTTGGTTGGCCGGACAACCAACTCGTCATTTTTCAAATTACTCGTATTATTTTTTATAATATTAGTTATTATTTAAGAAGTAAGCAACATCTTCACAGATGTAAACAACCTCGTCGTAACATTCAAAAAATGTTCATCTACTGTATATTGCGCTTACCGTGTAAATGAAATTACCCATGAGTAAATAGCCACCTTCTTTACCGTGGGTCCACACGACTTCATGTTTTAAAGCAAACACGACTATCCAAAACAACAAGAACGAATGAAACAAAGCATTCACCACCCATATCCAAAATGTTTGAACATTAAACGTGTCTGCCGTCTTCGAGTAAAGTTGAGGATATTTTAGTCTTGTTTGTGCTGTGCACACTATGTCGAATATGCCCATCACCATTGGCGGAGCAGCTGTAAACAACTAAAATGGCGAGAAAAAATTAATAAAATATTGATCACGTTTACCAGACAAGTATAAAATGTGTACAAAATTACATTACGAAAACTTACCACGTTGTATAATCCAATTGTCCATCTCTCAAATATGATTTGTCCAGACCAACCGGAGTAAATCGCAAACCACAGTTCGATGATGTACAGGCAAATGTTTTTATAGAAACTGTACAAAATCAACTTTGACATTCTATTATAGTTCCACGCTCCGTGCACCAACAGTAACTTTAACAAGTACTTAAACTGTAAAATGACAAACGATTATATTGTTTTTATTATTATTATATAAAATATCTGCACATTATTATCACGGGCGTACTCAGAAATTTGCCGATGGGATAAGGTAAATAATGTGCAACAATATTATGCCGCTTGCATGATTGTTAATTAAAAGCTAAATGAATCAATAAGCATTTACTGCAATATTTTATAGTTCTTTTAACATCAAAACACCACAATATACCAAATTATTATGAATACTATTATTAATTGGTAATCTCCTACAAAATTGTTATTGATAATATATCAAAAGTACGTCTCTGTGTTGTCTTACAAATTAATGTTTATAACTATTTTTTTAAATATTATACATTTGTATAAGGTATTATTTAAAAATAATAATAATAATAAAAATCGTTAACACTTTTTTATTGAAAAAACACAAAAATCATGCAATACTGCATGATGAGGATGATAAATTTGAACGACCACCCCACTGGTTGACTATTAATTGAACATTATTTTAAAATTTTTATTTAACAAATGGAGGGATCAAGATGAGAACAACTTTTGCCAAAAAATGCACGCTTATGATCCTTATGATGATAAATATCAGTCGACTTACTTGAGCTATTGAATAGTCAGACGCACATGCTGCCTGCAGTCCCTCCACGCCGGAGATTCCAACACCGACATGAGCTTTTTGAATCATCGCAACATCGTTAGCCCCATCACCAATCGCAAGTGTCACTTGATGCGTGTTGGTTGTTACTAATTCTACTACCTGATTCAAATATTAATATTAGTTGCCACTTTGTATGATTGAAAAACTCTAAAAAAACTTTGTACCTCAGCCTTTTGCATGGGCGACACTCGACAGCAAATCACCGATTTACAATTCATGCATAACTCCAAGAAATCCAATTTAAGATCGTGGGACAAGGCGTGTTTCAGTGCTTGGCCGTCAATGACCAATGTAAAAGTATTTTCGGGGCTACTGGCAGCTGTGCCCAGCATATTTAGCTGATGACGCAGAGCTTCTCTAAGTTCCTTTGATTAAATTTCACAATCATTAAGTATTTTATCATTTATACCGAGGAACACTTTACTCAATTCAGTGTTTTGCAAAACATAAAATAAAGTAAATATAAAAATAGATGGTAAACTGTTTACCATATTTAATTTAACGTTGTGCAAAATCTCAATTAAATCAATTTATACTTACATCCAATGTAGTCTCGTTGAGAATTATAAGCGATGTGCTTTGTGAAATTAAATTTGTCGAGTAACCAATGTTAATTGCCGTTTCTTGTTTGTCTCCGGTTAGCACCCATATGTTAATGCCTGCTTTCAATAAAGACGCTATGGTTTCGGGTACCTTAATATAGAAAGTGAACCAAATTAAATAACCCGATTAATATTTGATGTCATCAAATGTACCTGATCCTGTAATTTATCCTCGACGGCCGTGGCGCCAAGCAATTTTAGTTCTATTTCAATTTTTTGAGCCACCTCGTCAATGGCTTCTTCTCGGCCTTTAAGTGTATTGGCAGCTTTAATGAAATCCTCATTCCATATTTTGTAGAAACTCTCAGAGATCTCTGCATATGCAAAACAAAGGGTACGGTAACCGGCATTTGCAAATTGATCAAGGTGCTCCAGTGTAATGTCTTTGTACGGATCGTCCGGAGAGAGACGTTCAAAAATAACAGTATCAGCTCCCTAATAATGCATACATTTGATTATTAACACATATTCGACATACAAATTGTATTGTAAGCCAAATATTATAACTTTACTTTGCAATATAAAATAATTTTTTGCCCCGGTGTTCGAACGATGACAGACATTCTCTTTCTACTACTAGTGAATTCAATCACATTCAGCAATTCGTACTCTTCTTCAACGTCCAAAGCAGTTATGTGGATTGACTTTGGCGTACGAGAATGGAATACATAACCTAATGACTGGCATCCTTTTAGAAGAGCTTGTTCATCTACAAGGAATAAATATCATCCGTTTACGTTAAAACTAATTGAATAAAAATCACAAAGCAATTAAATACACATAAAACTAGTTAAGATAATATAATGAAATTTAAAAATACCATGTAATAATAGAAGTTTAAAAAAAAAATTAATTTTTGGTTTTAAATTTACAAGTTTTAAGAGGACGTCATACTCTTTAAAAATAATCGTAAAAACGTGTTTATGGAAATGCATGTAGGTCAAAGCGAAATGTTCATAGAAAAAACATTCTAAAACCTGTAAAAAGAGAAGAACTTCGACTATTTTTAGAAAAACAGAAATTTTTCTTTAAATACAAATACTTAAAAAAGTACTAAAATGTCAGACTTGAAATATAAATTGTGAATGTTGGGTGAATAATATAAAAAAACCGACGAAGAAACCTAGATAAAGTTCTCATTGTTAAAAATATGTAAAAAGAATCTGTCTATAATTATTTAGTCAATAATACAGAATATGCGTAGCTACATTTAAATGATATTTTTTTCAAATCACTGTCAAGGATGCTGTGATGGTCCAAAAAAAATGAACTGACACAAAAGAGTCCTAATTACTGAACTAATAGATACACATCATAGTTCAACCTTAAAATTAAGGATTTAAAAAAATTGCCTATACCTAACTCCTTAATAAATGGAAATATGACGTCACCACTAAAAAAATTAATTTTTTGAGAAGTGATATCATAATTTAAAAAAAAAGTAGTTACTGTAAATAAAAATGATATTCTTAATTAGTACTAAAATATAACTGTTTACTTTTGACACATATTTACCTAAACAAAACTGTTATGATTGACGATAGGCCTCTTTTAATAAATATGATTCAATATAATAATTTTTTAAAAAAACTAACACTAAAGTGTACTATTAGGTATGTTGTATGTCTTAATAAATGTTACAGTATTTATCAGCTTTCTATTATTCTCTAAGTGTCATAAGCATTGTAATTTTAATATATCAATATTATAATTTCAATAAAATTTAATAGTTAGTTTTATTCCTATTTATTTAAAGCTGAAATTATGTTTACTTAGAGAGTTCCTTCTTGTTACATCAAATGTCGAAACTATATTATAATTTTAACAAATAAAAGAAATGTTGTGATAAAAATCAATTTTAGTTTTATTACTTATATACATTAATAACTTTGAGGTATATTGTCATTATAAATAGTTATACATTGGAGTGTTTTGTATTATATTCAATGTTGACTAAACAATTTGAAGAAAGTGTTCATTAATTATAGAATAGAATATTTGTATGTAATTTATCTGAAATATTCAACAGTTTAAATTTGAGTTAAAAACATCAACAGTATTGTTATCGATTTAAAAAAAAATGGTTATTTCTTTATCTTTAAAAACTAAGTTCGCTCTTTAAGACTACCAAAAACTACATTTTCAATCTAATATTAATAATTTGGTAAATAAATTTTTGTTTCAATTATGAACACTGCGACCCTCATTGAGCAACTCAAATAATACAAATCCACAACTGTACACAAATATAATAATTTACCAGGAGACGAAGCATGATACAACATCTCATCTGAGCCTTTGACTTTTTCGGGAATGACCGTGTGGCAAACGGCCATCATTTTTAAGAACTCCGTGACATAATCTTTGGTCTGGTGATGTTTAGAGTTCTGAAATGAACGTCACAAACAATTAGTATTTTCTATGTTACATACATGATTGAAGGATACAAGGTTATTGCACATATACCCCTTCTTCATCAAATATTTGATAATAAGAACAAACATGTCAGCGTAACGTGCAGCAAAATCAAGTATATAAGTACACGTTAAAATATAAAGTAATAGTAAAGTATATAGGAAAAATTATATCCCGTTACGCTGTCATTTTATTTCTGAAGATAACAATATAAGACGATGTACAATAACCTGTATATTTTAACCATGGGTATATATGTATATTTCAACACAGTGTACCTTGATTCTAAAAGGGCCAATAATAATTTTTGGCAAAATGAGAATGGCATTTTTAGACCAAAGTTAAAAATATTTGTTTAAAAAAAAAAAAAACTGCATACGTCTAATAGTGTGTTTTTGCTGCCTTCCATGTAAAGGATACCGGCTATGGAACAGTGTTTAAACTCCATGACGTTTCTCGTTAACGTACCAGTCTTGTCGGAAAATATATACTTGACCATGCCCAGTTCTTCGTTTAAATTTGACGTTCTGGCCATGGCTGGAGTATTACTCTCTGCGTGATACATATCAATGTCGTAATTGATGAACGCCGCCTGAAACGCAAAGAGTAGGTTAGGGAAATTACATCAATTGCACATTTTAATTGACAAGGACCGAGTCATTACTTACTTGCATGAAGCGAACGACCTCAACGGTCACTTGAAGAGAAATTGGAATCAAATTGTTGAAAAGAATAAAAAATGTGAGAAGATTGAGCGTGAAACTATAGGTTCCTACTAAACAAAGAAACTCATTATACATAATTGTCTTTTTTCCTACCAGGCTACACGGCAATCGATGGGGATACTTGATTAATTTTAAGGGGCCATAGCCAAAAAAAAAAATATATATATATAAAAACTGAATCGTTTATGAGTCGTGTCAACCCATTGATCATAACATTCAAATGCATTTTTATACTTCCGTGCACACAAGTAATATGTGAACGAGCCTTTTTAAAACTTAAAATTGTATAATACATTAAAAACTTACGGGAGAACGTCTATAAGTTTACAATATCTGGAGCATTTAAACTGCCTGTTTTTTTAAGAAGATGTCAATAAATTAATAAACATCGACTACTCTTTTAATAAAATAACATAAAATAGCATATCATTTCATTAGTTTAAAACTAAAGTAATTGTATTGCAATATAATTAAAAAATTGTTAAATTACTTTGATTTTTATATTGAAGGGGCCAATTGCTCGTCATTAGTAAAAAAATAACCATTAAGTAACAATTTCAAATTATACTCACCTTTCAAATCCATGTACCAGTCTTTGACACCTTTTTGTTTACTCCAGACTATGTTGCAAAACGCACTGACCAAACATAGTGTGCACAGCAACAAGAACAACATTATTATCTGTGTGTTAACGATTTTGTCGACTGTTGACCTTTTCAACGGTGCAGACGTCTGGTTCATCATCAGCTTGGTCTCGTGGCCAGTGTAAACCACTACACTACACACCCATGGGGTGTTGCGTAGCATGGCGCCCCGCAATAACAAGTTATTTGGACCTAAAGACAGTGGCCTGAAAAAATCGTACCAGGTAAATATTTATCTACAGTAAAGGATTAAGGAGTGCGTCAATGGTGTGCTCATAATTTTACAAATGTACATGATCACTTGGTAAGCCGAGAGAGACCACAAAGTCATTGTCCTGAGTGTGCTATTTCTCAAGATAAGAGTGATTTATATGAATAAAAATCTAAATAATATCATAACTCGTTCAGTTTGTCCTAGCCTTTTAAAATCCATTACACAAAATATAATTTCTCGATTAAAAAAAAATAAATTATAATGAAAATAAACATTACTAGAGCTAGAAACTTCATGTGCTTAAAAATGCTTCAATATGCAATTAATAATACAATTTTCTTAGTTTTTTTTTTTTTTACAAATATTTTCAGTTTGAAATGATAATTTATAAAATATGTACTTGTTTTTAAAACATAAAGTATTTTATAAAAGTACTTTTTAACTCATTAAAAGCTAAAATCGCGTTTGGATTTTTTGGTTTTCAAATATCAAAATTAATTTTCTTTAACTAAAAAATAATTTTTTTAAATTATTATTATTTTTGTAAAAATAATTGAGTTACATAAAAATATGCATTTATACTTATAATGTAGACACATTAAACTAAAAATTACAAAATATGTACAAGTAGTTGACGTTAAATGTTACCTACAATACACGTAAATCGTTTATTTATGAAAGGTTAAGCTAATATTTAAAAAAGTCAAGCGTTAGGAAAACTAAAAATATAATTTAAACATTATAACCATTATACCGAGTTCTTAACCAATACAAACAGTTAAAGCAAAAATTTGGCAGAAAATTGGGTTCTCCTTAATACTATAGGAAATTTAGTAATTTTCAGTTAAAGTCAATACTATTAACCTTGTGAATAGTAATTAATTTTATATTTGTTTGAATATTCTTTAGCTATGCAATATTTTTCACTCTCTTAAGAAGGAGGGGATTGTTTTTACTACACATGAGAACTTTTTAACTATTTTTTTTCTTGGTTGGTCAAATTACTCTTTTCCCACCTTTTATTTTCTACCAAGCTTATTCACCTCCTCTATTTATTACGTTCAAGAGGTTTCCATAGTACTTACACTCTATCCGATAGTTTCAAACTGCCGTTAAAGTCGTATATCAATCGGTTTGGAAGTTCGCACTCAATTGTGCCTTTTAAGTGTGTGAGATCTTTGGGGTCAATGTATTGTGACGTTTCTGGAAGACCTTGTCGGATTTTGAGGTTGGTTTCGCCATCTAGGTTCATCGTTTCGATGTAACACATGCTTTGTGGTTCGCTATATGATTACACGTAAAGATATTAGAATAATAAATCAAACTGATATACCGCATTCAAATATCCCAATTAAGTGATAAACTACTCTGTCTTACCTCGAAGAAATTATTAAAAGATCGGCCGGGAAAAATGTGTTATTTTTTACTTTGACAATGTCGCCTACATTTATGAGGTCCCATCGTTCTGGTGTCCACGCTCCATCAGACAGCACCTCCACTTGTCTGTGATTAACTTCTCGATCAGCTCTATGTCTCTTCTGCAAACGAAAAAGACACGATAGAAATCAAAAGGTTTACAAGCCATTTTGAGTACTCACAAAGTCTTCGATAATTTCTTTAACTGCGGATACTAAGAGTATAAAACACAAAGGCACTAATGTAGTAAACCGACCAGTCGGTGATACTTCAGGTATTTGCTGAAACAAAAAAACAAAATGTTTAACAAAAACACAGAAAAAAGTTTTTTTTAACATAAATAGAAAATTATTCAGAGAAACAAGGAAATCATTTTTATTATATGATTTAATATTATATGTCTCACAAAAACAACCATATCCTAAACATATTCGTCTTATAAATTTTATTAGTTTTAATTTTTTTTTTTGAGAATTTAATCATTTTTTTGAAACTCATCACCATTTTAAAAAATTCAAAGCTTACACATATTGCAGAGTAATCTCGAATCGATATCGACAATTGACATCTGCAGATTTTGTATCAGTATAATTAATATAGATAATATTCAAATAAATATAAATACAATAACACATAACAGAAAAACTGACATTTTAGTGACAGTTCACTAAAATAGATTTTTTTAAACAAAATATTTAATATAATTTATCAATATTATATAAGAGCAAAGTATTTTTTATCTTAAAATGTAAGTATAAAATACTAAAAAGTATTTCAAATATAAGTACATAAGTTGTATGTACATACAAAAAACATGTCGGTAGCAAGATAAATAATAATAATGTCAATAATCTAATTTAAAGCAAAAAACCGTATAAAATATAGTTAAGGGAAAAAAGTAAAACACATCAATTTGTTTGGCATTTTTGAGACCGCCGTAAAATCCGATATATTAGGTTATTTTCTTTTACTACAGCAATTTCGGAAACTTTATTACGCGATGGCATTTATGTATGTGTATAGCTATAATATAATATTATATTATATTAAATGGGGCACTGATAAAGTGACATATTAAACTAGAGTAACCCCCGTTGAAACTAAAAGGTCACGGGTATCATTAACCTTTTACGATATAAATTTAACCATGACCGTAAGGTCAGGCCCCAAGAGTTTTAACGGATCAACCTGAATTTGGTTCATATGTCATGGTAAGCTGACTACGATTCTTATCTAATCGCTGGTGTCTAAAGTGTCCAAACCACGCCCTTTGGGTGTTTTCCATTTGTCATGTTTAAAAAAAAAAAACTCCCCTCATTACATCACATCAATATCAATAATACTTGGCGGCAAGCTGTCAAAAATGATTTTCGAGTACGCCCATATCATATGTTTGAACATGTAAGTACCACCAGATATCAAAATCCTCAGCCGCAACAAGAATCAAATTTCTGAATTTTTCCCCACGACTAGAAACGACAGTAGTGATGTTACTCCTACCACTTTAGTGACGGCCGTAACGGCAACCGTTGTGTTTTAATGACAATTTTTAACAGCATATTTTGAACCTCGCCCTAACTGTAAAAAGGTTAAATTTTTACTACTAAAATAACCTTCAGCTTATACTTAATAGCAACAATGGCCAATGATAATGCAAAGATTTTTAATACAATTTTATTAATTATTGTGAACGTTCATTTTAAAAAGTTTTATATTCGTTCCCATCCTCGTTCCTACATAATGAACTAATTCCAACCCTGCGTTTACACTTTTAAAAAAGAATTTGTTTCTATCTCGATTTCGAAAATTTAATGAGTTTTTTTTAATTATAATTCCTGCACACGATAAAAAAATCAACATTTTCGGGCATAACTCAAAAACTAAACACGTCTAGGAAAATGTTAAAACTATATTAACTGTTTTAACTATTCAACATAAAAAAACACACTCCGAAAAAATAAAATAAATCACTTGAGACAAAAACTATATTTACAAAAAAAAAAAAAAAATGATAAATTGTAAATACAAAATACAAATACTCCAATCCAAATAATTTTAATTAAGTAAAATTTTTATTATTATACTAAAATTAGTAGATAAAAATAATAAATGTCTTTTTAGCAATACTTGTGTTAGAGATAAATTTAATGTAAAGTTTTTAACGCACTATATTTTTACATGTGTATAAAAGTCCTTTTGGTGGTAAAAATGAGAAAAGTTACAACTGATAAAGTCTCGTTAAATAATCAGATTTTAATATTTTCTTTTATGTTTGGAAGAGAAATTTAGATTACTAAAAAAAACAAAAGAACGCTAATAAAAGTTTAAAAATATTATCATATTTAAAGTCTTATTACGATGTGTATAACATACATTTTGAAAATTGAAGCACTATACAGTCAAACAAAATAAAAATTATCAAAATTCTTCGAGTCGTGGCGTCATCGCTTTTGCCGTAAGACATGATTCTGAGCAAAATACGCAACGGTCGCTTTAGTCGCAGTAAAAGCGTTTTGTTAATCTTAAGATTTACATCCGTGCCATGCTGCGTTTAAAGATTTATTTCCGTCAAAGCTAAGTGTTTGGGATTTAAGATATTAACATTAACATAATTTAAACGCTTCACTTGATACACGAGGACGGGTTTAAGTGTTTTATTATAATCTACAGATCATCGTATTTACTCGTATTTGCATTAATAGTATTATCGATCGTGGCGATTTCTATAATGGAATTGAGGTAGACAGTAGAAATTAAAACGAGTAAGAGAATTTATAATAAATTAAAAACAGGACATGCTATCCGCTTCCTAAGAATTCACTTGGGGTAGAGGAGCCATATAATTTCCTGGAAACGGTCGTTCAGCAATTCAAAAGATACGCGGTCATCGATCTCCTAGCTCAAGCCTCAGACCTTATAACGCACAAGTGAATTAATTAGTAATGGAAAATCAAAAATTCAGATTTTACAAAAGCACTATTTTAGACATTTAAAAATCATATAAATATAGTATATGATTATGAATTTAAGTACAAATTTTTTGATGAAAATATAAAACAAAAATTCAATATCGAAAACATTAGTTTTTTTTGGGGAGAATATGTTGAAATTTAAAATCAATTTATCATCAAGGTTAAGTTAACACAGCTTATCACAGCTTGTATATCATTTAAGCTTCATAGTATGTGTATAAGAGGTGATGTCATCATACTATACGTATATTGTATACGACGAAACAAATAAGCTTAATATCTACATATCCGACATCCCATTAATATTTGTAAAAGAGGCGTTGTCAGTTGATACTATCGCAACTGAGCACATCAAATAATATTGTTTAATTTAGTGAAAATACACCAATATCCGGTGACTGGCAGAAACCTTACGGTGAAAATCGACCTTCAACTCATCCGTCATTGTTATTACTCGACCAAAATTGATAAAAACCGCAGATTTCTTTATTCATTGTAGACGCGTTATGACAATTAAGCTAACGAAACTAGCTTAATTTTAGTAGGTTGGAGACTGGACAAATTTTGTACAAACAAGTTCTTAAGGTGGCCATAAAGGCGGGGACTACAAATATTACATTAAATCCACTTACAGTTATCAAAACAAAATGTATATATTAAGCAATACTATACACCTTATAAGATACTCGTACCTAATAATGTGTTCTATATTCAAGTTGTTAACAGTTTTTTGAGAGAAATTTAATTTTAAAAATGTAAAATGTATTAATGATGTTTTATGAAACAGAATAGGTAATGGAATACACCTAACCATATATATTACCCAATCCATTGGATGAATCCATTGTACATATTATTATATCAACTTTAGTTGTACTATTGAGTTAATTTTATTATTACAACGCAATAATAGTTGAAAGAGGAATTAGTTTATGTTAGTTTTGTCTTAAAACGTTACAAGTACATACATAACTTATTGACTAACCTGCAGTAGCGCAATGAGTAGAAAAAAACAATTAGAGTAACGTCGAAATTGTTCGAACAGAAATATTGGCAGGAACGATACCAGACTGTACTTGGCGGTGGATATGCGATTTGAGCAGCTCTTGACCCGCTGAGGTGCATTTATGTAAATCGTCCGACTATCCCTGAATCCTAAACAGTCTACGGCATCCGAACAAGGACCGCCTTCTTCTTCGTAACCATTTTGATCTAAATAAAAAAAATATAAAAAGAAAAAAGGCCAAACACGCCTTGTCAAAGATCAATATGGTAACGATTGGTACTAAAATCAATAAACATATACAAGGCAGTTTTGCACATATGCTTATAATAATAAATAATTACATATTATCCAGCATGCTCAATATACATAAAGCTAGATTGCTGACACGGGTTATCAACTTAATTTTTACTCCTTATATAAGCTTTTTATTTTGTTCGCATTCTCAAAAGGGCGACGATTGCACGTGTACTAATCGAGCTATTTTACAGCATTTATAATAAAAATCTAGCTTTATTTGTATCTTATAGTGGCGATAAGTGTTTTAAATCAAAACTGGATCACATTCAGTGCGCGAACTCGTTTTAATCTCCCCCCCCCCCCGGAAATAACATTAGCATTTACAAATAGCCTCGTTAGACATATGTCTATAATATCTAATAGCCTTGAACATTTTATGTTTCATCGTCATTAGCTTCCATTCAAAATATGGTTATCATCCTTGTTTCACATTCAACACCTTACTGCTCTTCATATTATATGAAGATCTCGCATTGCCAATTGTCACATATTCTATCATACTTTCCTACCTTTTCTTTTATTTATCTGAGATTCGCCCATAAAAACATCCAGTTTTAATATATTTACAGCACGTACTGACTAGTAACAAAGAAAATAAATATTTTATTACAAAAGCATTGCAGAAGCCGTGATGACAAAGACTATGAGCAAAATAATGAATTAATTTTATAAACGTGCAGGAGAGTATATAATTAGGCAATTGACATAGATCGAAAAATCTCCCATGCGTTAATCTTACAAAGTACTTGAAATGATTAATGATTATATTTTTAACTTGGATGTCAGCAAAGTCCAGATGGTATTGATTTTACAGTAGTGTGATTTAAATTAAATAAATTCAAAATACCGTTTAATTTTAGCATGGAACATTAACATTGGCCCTCCAGCCTGAAAACGACACTTAATAGCGACACTAAATTGCGATACTTAAGTAGCGCGCCTATTTTAAACGTATATAACGATTCGTCGTCATGCATAAAGTTCACGGCATTCGAAGGAATGTTAAATATTGATAAATGTTGCCAGTAAATCGATTAAGGCCAGATATTATAAAACTACTAAAAAAAGTTTGACCAGAACATATAATTAAGACTATAATACCATCATAAATCGCAAGGATTATATAGGATGTTCCAAAAAGCAGCCACATTTTGAAAATTCTATAACTTATTTAATATTTGTACAAAAAAAATAACACATACCATTGTGTTTAGGAGGTCCTGAAGTTTATGTGTGGAACATAAAATCGGGCTAATGACCGCTCCTGTTTGCCCTACAGGCCACGCGTTCGCAGATTTCGACGTCTAGATCACCCATCACTCGCCTGATTTCCGTGGCTACCACGGTCTTGTGACCTGACCCCCTGCAACTTTTTTTTTGCGTGAGTACGTAAAATCCCAGGTCTACAAAAAAACCTCGTGATCTCAACCAGGCATATCAGGCGAGTGATGGGAGACCTAGACGTTGAAATCTGCAAACGCGTCATCCGAAATTTCATGGACAGTATTTTGATGGCCTGTACGGCAAACAGGGTCGGTCATAAGTCCGATTTTATGTTCCACACATAAACCTCAGGACCTCCTAAACACAATGGTATGTGTTTTTTTTTTTTTTATACAAATATTAATAAGTTATAGAATTTTCAAAATGTGGCTCCTTTCTGGAACACCTTATAAATCAGAAATAATCACTATTCAGAAACCAGCAAGCTAAAGTATGTTCCATGTTTTATCATTTTAGCCGTTAGGCATTAAGCAGACTGTAACTTTTTTTTTTTTAGAGATAAACGCATACTTGTAAGATGTCCAAGATGTTTAAACGTAAAAAAATGTTTTAATTTAAAAGGTAAAATATGTTAAAACATTAAAAGCTATATTGATTAAAAAAAAACTTTAAGGTCATGGGTTCAAGCAATACCTACTACAAACCTTACTTTCATTAGAAAAAAGGTAAACATTTTGTATTGCATAAATTATAATGTAATGAGAAAAGTTTTAATAAAAGTCATTTTAACAATTTAAAACCTTAGCTGACCTTCAACACGCCGTCTTTTTACTTAATTGAAATCTTTTTTTAACATATTATTGTTTTTTTTAGATACCTGATTGCACGCACATCCAACTTAATAGTTTAAAAACTACCTACACAAGTCTTAGTTTTTTTAACGCAATATACATAAATATATTTCCTATGAAGTTTACTTTTAAAAAAGTAAACGTTTGACGCAAAACAATTTAAAACTTTTTCTATACTGAGAAACATCAAACTCGTAGTTTTCTTACAAAAGTACCTTTACTTTTTATACTCCGGCGGGGTCGTTAAATATTCGTTTACTCAGCAAAAAATAAAAATAAATCTTTTTTTCTCTTATAGTGGCAACAGCAATATTATTTTTATACTCAATAGCATAAAACCGTTAGGTTTATCAAGTAAATTAGAAAGTATTGCGTGTATAAAATCCAATTGACAAAAAAAACAGCACAACTGTACCTATACAAATTTAACGCTAATTAAATAAAAAAGTATATGGCATTTACTTGACCGCGAACAAGGGACGAATAGAAGGTTTTAATAATTATGAGAGTACTTTTTATTACAATTATTATACACCCTTTAATTATGATAATTACATTTTTTGTTTTTGTAAAATATTTTCTTACCTTGGTGATTATCGGAGGACTGCGGTGAATGTGTATTTGGTTTTTTCGACATGGATTTTTTTTATATTAATAAACACTTTTGCACGCACTTGGGTAGTTAAAACAAGGTAGGAAGACAGGCTAGGAAGACGAAGCAATCAACCACATCGTATGAGTATAGGCACCTAAATGTATGGACGCACATATAACAGTATACATTACAATAATAATAATAATAGTATTTCATTAAGTGATATGATATTATCTACCAAAACGTTAGAATATACCAATACAAATGAATTTACTATAATATACTGTATAACCTACACAGTATAATATATTATATGTTTTATACATAATGTGTTGGTATAAGTTAGCTGATGTTTATATATATACATAAAAATACATGTAATATATTTTAATGTAAGTACTCTATAGTACAAAGTTTGTAATTGTGCTCTACATTTTTAATTATAATCTTAATTTTTAAGTCCCACAATGATATAAAACGATTGAAGAGCCTTCATAAGCAAAGAACAGTCAAATTAGTTTAACCGCCGCTTCTTTTGTTCAAATTCCGCAGAGATCAGTGCAGTATTAAGAAGTCACACAGTGCAAAATAAAAATTGTTAAACAGGTTAGTTTGCCCACTTAAAATAGAAAGTTTTAATGAAAACTTACGGAGTTATACATGAGATAAAAAGAAATATGAATACCTATTATAATACAAAGGTTTAAGGTATAGTATATAGGGTAAAGGGTACTTTTTTTTTTTAAATAATTGCAATTAAGTAATTTTTTCTTTTTGAAAACATATTTGTTTATATTATTTTACGATATTATAAGATGACTAAATAATTACCTTTTTAATATTTTCCAGACCTCTATCAACTTTTGAAACTTAAATGGTAACGTATCTATTTAGTTAACTTTTTTAGATTAAGAATATTTTGCTGAAAATGGTAACTGATCGACAACCAGTTTTGGAAAATTACTTATAAAGTTACTTTAGTTTAAAATTTAGGACAAGAGGTGAAGTGCGGTAGAGTAATGCTCGCAGATAAAAATAAAACTTCACCCTACCCTTCATACTGTCTTGAATTTTAAGCTTTAATAACTTAAAAAGTAGTTATCCAAAACTGGTGATTGACTAGTCAGTTTTCAGTAGATTATTCCCAATTTAAAAATGTAATTAAATGTAAATATACGTTACAATTTAAGTTTATAAATTTGATAGAGCTTTAGAAAATATATATCAAAAAAGATACAAATTTGAATACAGTTTAATGTTGTAAATAACATAAACTAAAGTGGCTCCTAAAAAAACAACTAAAAAATTGCAATTATTTTAAGAGCAAATGAACTTGAATCAAATGGATCAATTTGTACGCATAATTATTAATACTTCAGGCTAAAACTTTATTTTCTGATTCCTATCATAAAACATGACGACATTAGACTCGGGTTGAGGCTATTTCTTTATCTAAGTAATTTGTCCGCCATGGAGAATCCAGTTATTTCACAACCAAGATAAATTTATTCGATTTTTTAGAACTAATTACCGTTATGGAACCTAGCCGAACCAAAGTTGATATAGATCTATTAAGGTTACAAAAAAAATTAATGTGTACAAAAATTGGCTGTCATGTCGTTAGAACCGTCAGTCTAATAAATGTTCGATTCTTTGGTTAATAGTACACGTGTGTTAATGTTACAGAAAATACTAACTGCAACACTGGATCCAACGCTGTTTTTTGTACTAAATTTAATACCTAACAAAAAATAAAACATCAAACCGTTATTGTGAATTGTAACGTTGCACTATAGCTCGAAAAAGCGTTGTGACGCCATCAATATTATAGCATGTTATCGTACCGTATTATTTACCAAGTGTAAACTAGCCTACACTTACAGTATACATGTTATTATTTAAAAAAACGTCGGTAACACCAGTTACGGTGGCTCGAGTATGGTAATTAAACATTTTAAATACTGTAAAAACGGTAAGTATAGCACAGCAGCATCATACTAGGAATCTTTTAAGAATATATTTTGTTTTTTCTGAAGAAAAAAAATGGTAATATTTTCCTTGTCAAGGGCAAGATATGGAACACAGACAAAACAATAGTTTGTAACAACCGTTGCAGTCGATAATCAATTATTAATCGGTAAATGTGAAAAGCGTTTACTAGAATCTGGATCTCTGTGTATCACCATTGAGTATATATTACAATATATACTCAATGGTATCACTCAGTTAGTTGGGTAGAAGATTTGTATATATTGTTATCCATTGAAATGCAAGATGTCGGCGTTTCTTAGGGGAATTATCTTATATAACAAAGGAAAATCCAAAACGACGACCATAAAACAAAGGTTTTATGAAGCCTAAGCAAAGCCTGCAATGGTAGAACGTTTAGTAGAAATAAAAGCCGGAATTAATAACTCTGCCCCGGTTCCCCGATAAATGCCGGTTAGAAGTATGCACGCCACCCCCACCCCTCCAAGTATGTAATTTTTATGACACCGATTACCAAAGACGAGAGACGGTTTAGATTATGCTCTATAAAGATCACGCTGTTTCTCACACAATCCATACAGACATAAATATATAGAAGTATCTGAGGTCGTTCACCCCTACTCATTTCTTCCGTCTACCCTATCCACTTACAAAGTCATTAATTTACTTCTACTTCTAACAAGAAGTTGAATGAGTGGACATAAGATTAAATAAGATTATAATGTATACGGTTTATCCAATAGTGTATAGAAAAAATAAAATCTATTTGAAAAAAGATCAATAAAAAGAAAACTTAAAATCGAGGTTGAAATGTGCAGTCTAAATTTTAAAGTTGCGTTCTATCAAAATAACGCTCAAATATTAACAAATTACTTATTTATAATTAATTATTAATTTTTATTTTATAAATATTAATACTTTTATTTTAGGAAAATAAAATACAGATTAACTCAGTTGAAGCTTGACCCATAATCAAGATACCAAATTAAAAAATTACGTTTATATTTGCACTTGACCTTAAACTTCTAGTGTGTACAACAATTTATTAGTTACATTTAACATAACATAGTCAATATTTGTATGATAATTGATATCAATGGTACTTTGACAGGAATTTACTTACTTTTGATTAAATTAAATAACTATCAATTTCATATTATCAGTAATTCAATATTATGTTAATAGTTTTAAAACTACTGTTACATATTATCATTACTGCCATTTTTATTGTAAACAGTACACTATTAGTTTTATCTTTTAATTATAATCCGGTGATTAATTTATACATATTCTACAACGGTAATATGGATAAATACAACTACTATTCAGTAATAATGGAAATAATTATTGTGGTAAGTTATAAAGTATAATTACTAGGTTAATAAAATGTAAATAAATAAGTTTAATGATATTTAAATTAGTTATTCAATAATTTTCTATTTCCTTAATTATTAGTATTTAAAATACAAAATTTACATAATAGAAAATATAGATCAATACTGTGTATCATGTATATCACTATTAGCTTAATTAAGTTAGGTGAAGAACAATTTACGGAGAAGGGGAGATGAAGGTTAAAAGATTCAAGAAAAACATAATATTTAATTTTTAATGTGAATATTAAACTTTTGTTTTGTTTTTTTAGGCTCTTCAGAGTAAATTATCATCTAACTTATTAAACGAATGCAATGCGACATACTATACTATACATCGTCGTTGGAAATTAAACAGTTAAGCTTGGCGGTCGATGAGACACAGATCGTGTGAAGCAACAGCAATGCATAATAATATAGTTGGAGTTGGTTTATTACACTAACGACTTAGAATTCATTACCTAAGTGTCTATACTAGAATTGAGTTTAATTTTAATGCGTGAAGTTTCCAAATGAATTCCTTAATATCGGTTCGCTTGAATACACAACAAACACCTCAGACGTTACTGTAAAGTACATACGAGTACCAGTAGTATGCCAATTTGATTGAGTTTATTTTCTCAGAACGCAAAACTCTCTGAAGTTTAACACATACATAAAGGTCTAAATCCTATTAATCCTACCCGCGGACATAAATATCAAGTTTTAATACCTATATATATATATTTAATCGCAAATAAACAGTATAGTTATTAATCTATGTTGTTTATCTCAACATTTACCGTCTTGGGTGAGAAAAATTTCTTTTCGCCTTTCGGTTGTCAGTTAGATAACAAAATATAATAAAACGAGCTAAAGACACTTGATACGAGGAAAGAAAACGACCGGACACGGAATTAAGGGCCAATCCAAAACTATAAACGAGTCCAATAATTTCAAACAAGCTACCTATAAAAATATTATTTCAGAAACTGAGCCAATTTTTAGATAAAAGTAAAAATAACAAAATCGCGCATATTTCACTTTTTAGCTTTCTGCGAAGGTTAATGTTACCGGTTGTGTTTTACGTTTAATAAGTACTTAAGTAGAAATTTAAAGAAGACGGAAAAAGGAAAATTTCATACAAATAAAAACTAAAAAACAAATTCACTTTCCAGAATATAATAAAAAAATGAAATCTGTTCAAAAGACGCGCCAAAAATAACTTCTACAAGTTTTTGTTTAAATTCCGACTTTGACGCACCATAGCTTTGCAAAATAAAGACTATCTGGCCAAGAACTTATTTTATATTCGCTTTAAACATTCTAAGACGTTTTCCTTCTCTTTTTAAAGTTAACCTCTGGATATTAAGTTTATCACACATTAATGGTAATTATCAATAAATACAAATTTTAGTAATGTAACCAAAAAAAAACATGTTTTGTTCAACAATCTTTTTTTTCTATATATCATAAAAATAATTTATGTAAAATTATAACATGAGGTGTTTATCGATAATATTTGACAATATTTATTCTAAGTCACATTCATTTTACCCGAGTTAACTAATTCTGAATTTATCATAAAGAACTATAATTATGTTAACATATTATCATGATTTTTTTTTTTTAACAGACCGATGAGTGTACAAAATTCATTCCATTAATCTGATAAATGTAGATACCGTGAAATTAAAAACAGCAATGAACCGAGAAACAGACACAAACACTATATTCAACTAACGAACATCTTCAAAAAGCTATTCAATTACTTTTAACTACATTACATTATCTAACTGCAGCCGAATGGAAAGACCTCCGACAGGGTCATACGGGTTCGAAATTACATTGATTCTTCACGACATTAATTAAATTAAAATCAAACTGAACGTTACAAAATAATGAACAAATATTAAGAAGTAGAGTAAAAGCCTGTTCAAACTTTTCCTTGTTTATACTAAGTACTCGGAAAAATAGGAAGTCACTTAACTGAAAATCACTTAGATTTCTGTGCACGCGATCATGTTTTACTTAAGCATAAATTTTAAATTAAACGTAAGTTTACACACTAAATTACAAAAAAAAAACACCGTTGATACATAAAATCAAGCAGTTGTTTTCGAGTTAACTGGAAGACATCTTCTGGGTTTTACCTCCAGTAGAGCCAGTTTGTTAACACCGTTTTGTCCTTAAAAAAACATTAAACAAAGAAACGACAAACTTGCACTAAAAATCAATAAAATGCCTTAAAGGTAAAATCCACTTCAAATTGTCTGCAATTTCGACAGTATACATAAGCCCTAGCAATACTACAATCGATACTTTTGCACTTATGCTAAACAATTTTTTATTTGTCATTTTTGTGAAATAGTTCTGCAATCATTTTAATGACACATAATTACACGATTAGATTCGAGACTTTCAATTTTAATAATTTAGTCTATTTAAGAGAAATTACAGTGGAAAAGTGAAAACTGTCATAAACATTATTACTATTAACGTTATGAGATACCCACGGCCCACGACTGCTGATATCTACGGAAGAATTTGAACTACAAAAGCTGAAGATAAATAAAATACTCACGTTAACACGTTATCCAATACAATAATAGTTTAAACTTAAGGTAAATATATTTTTTTAGCGTCGATGCTACGATTGAACCGAACCGATACGCGTTACGGTACACTCAATGGCAGACAAAAGTTACTCATATATTATAAATACATCAGAAATGTTATTAAAATGTCGTCACTAATCTTACAGCGATACGCCGGTTTATCTGGTGTTTAATTACTGCACTGTTATTAAGGTTATACGTCCATATATATTACCGACAACACAGACTGCAATGATATAGATAATATATTGTATAATAACTATCAGTAATTACCGTTTGTTATCGTTAATACTTAATAATAAAACATCTGGAAAACCAGAATTCACGAGTACGAGACTCGGCGGTATAAATTATGATCTTGTCGCGAAAAAAACAATGTAGTATATAAATTTAAGTTATTAATACAATAGTCACAAGATAATTATTTTAAGACCCCTTGTGTTAAGTATTTAAACGCAATAAACTAAAAAAAAACCCAAAAAAAAAGACTCAAAAGTGTTGATTGGAAGAGAAAGAAACAAAAACTAAGCACGTGAACGTTTCGGAAGTTTCAAACGCCCGCTGATGGCGAATCCAAACGGAACACTGATTGATACGAGATGCCTAAGCATGTACCTTGTCAGCCGTGGCGAGCGCCGTCGTCTAGGCCAAACAGAATTGGAAGCTATTCGTGTACAGGGTGATATACCGTTCGTCGCTTATTACTACAATACATTTAAAACACATATACACACACAGGTCACAGTAATAATAAATCGTATTGTATACCTAAGTATATAGTAGTACATATAAAGTATAATAATGTACACTGCTTATAAATCATTCAGGCCAACGATAACTGTTTTTGAAATAGCTCAATCGAGTTATGGGGAAAAAAATGACTTGGGTTTTTAACGCTCTACAATAACAACAAGGGTTGGTACGAGAATCGAACGAAACTATTATGTGACAATATATATTATAAAGAACCGGTAATAAATAATTCAACGTGTCTATTCTTTAAAAATTCACTTTTTCGCCATACCTACTTCAGAAAAAATATATAGAAACACAGTTACATTTTATACGGTATAGCTAGGGCATTATGGAACAAGTGTCACGCTTATTAGTTGTGAAAATGAAAATTGTATATAATTTATAAGCCTCATTAAAAATAAATAGGAAAAAAGTTTGCCACATCAATAAAGATGCCTGTTGCTACCACTGAATAATAATTAGTATCGGTACTAAAACAGATTGAATGCTCGTTTAAGAAAAAAAACCTATTAAATTGTGCAAAGAGAGAAAGATTTTGTCCAGTAAAGGGGTCATACACTTACAAATTGTTTGAATTTTGAAATAAATAGATAAATTTCAAAATATGAAAGATACTGAATACTGATGTCAGATGTGTAACTACCGCTAGCTCAAGTCACTAACACATTGCTCAAACAAACACTATAGGTACTTGGAATATAATGTAATAAATTCATTATTTAGACGTTTTGAAGTAAATACCAATATACATGTTTATATGTTCATTAGTGAGCACGATGATTGTTGGGCTACTGCTTGAAGACTAACCAGCTGACAGACCGATTTACCTGAACACACGTGAGTATCTTAATGACATATAAATATAATACTTCATACTATGCTCTCAAGTTGCATATTTATTTTTACCCTACCTAATGTGGCTGTATTGCACATTATAAAAACGACCATATGTTCGGCAAGTATTTACCAAAAAATATCCTCTTAGACTTAACTTGAAAAATTAGCGGAATCGCATAATAAGCGGTTTTGAGCAAATCGGAAACAGATTGTATTTACCGCCTTTTTAATAATCGGTACACAAATTTCGGTTAACAAAGTGTACCGGTATACTACAATAATACTATATGTATGTATAATTAACGCCCCCGTACGTCAACCTAAAATGGAAAAACGTACAATTAAGCAGGTTGTTCGTCCTATAATTTCCATATTACAGTAGAAGTCATGCATAACACCGCGTGCAAAGCATAATGTATTTTTAAACAAAAAAAAAACTGTGAATATAGGTTGACAAAGGACAACGTCATTCGGAATAAACGTAATACTTCATTTTTTTTTAGAAGTACAAAATATAAAAGGTAAACTGTTATTCGTCGTAAAATTATAAAATTTAGATCCTCCCCCAATCCTCTCGGAGTTCAGTCTAATAAGTTGTAAAATACAATTTTTAATTTTAACAAATCTATCGATTATAGTCGGTTTTATGCGTTTAAATTTTACAAAACTGTAGGAGTAAGGTTCGTAAAAAATGTATTTTTATGTTTATTATTATTGTGGGAGTTACAAAATAAAAAATTATAAGCACCTTTTGTAACTTTGTTATTTAATAAAGTACAAATGCAAAAATGAACAAATTTACAGGTAATAATTGTCAAAAGACTAACAATGCTCTGATGTGTGTCGCGCCAGCTGGATCTTCCCAATTGAAAAACAAATAACAGAGAAATTACTTCCGGCCGACTGCGTCTGAAAGACGATATGATGCTCAGCCGTTACAATGATAGCCAGACGCCAATCTATCTTTAACATTTATATTCAATTTAAAGGTTAATTACCCTTTATAAAAAAAATCATAATTTTAGCTTTATGAAGACAAATAATGGTCTTAATTTTGACAACAAAAGCTGGCTGGGTTGGTGGAAATGACTAGATTGTCTGCTCTGGCACTTTTCCAAAAAGAAAAGGAACAGTGACTCTGAATTATAATATTATAATAAAGAAATGAATAAGAATGATATTTTTTGTTGTTATTAAATTATGTACATACTGAATCTTATTAAATTTTAGTAACTACTGCTAAATATAAAAAATGAAATAGTTATTTTTAATGTTATTCTTTAGAGCTTGACGTATTCTGAACGTTGTACATCTCAACGTGAGATCTGCAAGATTAAAAACAAATGTGTGTAATATAAAACAGTTCAACAGACTAACCCAAAAATAATATTAGGTACTATAATTTAGTTATAATTATTACTGATAATCCTAGGTAACTGTTATTGTATTAAAATTAGCACTTCTATATTTTTTATATTTTTAGACTAAATCTTAAAATGAGTAATGTTTGATTGCAAGTACACATTGCCAAGTTTAAGATTAAATTGTAAGAAGGAAAATATGAATAAATTAACTGAAACTCCAACACTATTATTGTTGGTAAAAATGTTAAATCAATACAACATAACAATACAAATTAATTTACCAAAACTTCATTATTTATTAATTTAAATAAATGTATACAAGTTATTATTTGCTTATTAGTATTTACATAATTTACTTACATAGTAAACACCTTTGAAGTGTTTTCAACTAAAACTCTGTTTTAAAAAAAAATTAAAATTGTATTTACAAAACCTTGTTCTGCCCAAACAATTTTAAAATATATTTTTTTCGAAATTGTTTTGGAAAGACTCAATAAAAAAAAGAAAGGGTTTCCTTTTGATTTTAATAGAATAAAACCAACGTTATTTCCAAAACTTAAGTTGAGCTATTTTATAAAGTATAATTTAGATATTTTCAAACAACATTTTAAGTTCTCTGTATGTAGTGTGTGTTGTATACAAAACCAACCACTGCGTTTAGAGTAAATGTTAGTGTAAATATTTAGAATAAGATTGGATTTGTGTAATTTTATTGCAGTTTTTTTTTTATTTTCCATTACAGAAGTCGGATAAAAACTAATACCAACACTATATAAACGAGACATTGGGTATTCAGGCGCTGATGGAATTTCTACCCTTTTCAATACCTAAGATCTATATCACATGTATATGTACATAGCGGTTGATATGTTACGCAATCATACTCAGGTCTTCAGGACGAACTAAAGTAGGTAAGTTTTTAATTGATCCCAAAAATGTATTTCATTTCTGCAGCTCACCAGAGTTCAATTATAGGACAATGGGGAAGATTTATAAATGGTTTAAAAACAGTATATAACAGTATATCCTAGTATTTCATATATTATCGGGGTTGACTCTATGGATGCGGGCTTTTTGATTTATAGGAACACGCAACACTTAATTTTAAATACGATCTCGCTATTAATGTCTAATGTGAATGTAGTTTGAGAGCTAATTACCCGTTTTAATTTTTATTTCTTGTTTGGTTTTTTTTTATAATAAAACTATTTTTCCTAAATAATCTACGTCAGACATTTTAATAATCCGACGGGGTTCAATTCAGGTTTCGTTGCCTTTTTTTTATTATTATTATATCAATTATTTAAAAACCTTTCGTGACCGGAGTACATTGTAACCTATACATAAATATCTCTATCTCTATACCATCGAATTCATTAATACAAATTCCTTTTTACGCTTTCCATGTACATACCGGTAGCGTTAAGTGACACACAAGCCCTACAATATAATCCATCAAAGCTCACCACGGGGAGGTGCGTTCTATTGTCTGGAATATATTAATATTAATTTCAATCAATTCCAATTGAACGCTTTGCCAATTATTCAAGAGGCCGATGTCAAATCCATTTGTACCCGTCGAAGATTGCTCTACAATCTTTTATTAACAAATATAGTTTTTTTTTTTCATTAAAAACAATTTTTTTTTTCTGACAGCTAAAGGCCAAAAACGCGACAAGCGACAACGGCGACAAACAGTCCTTTATAGAACAATGAACATAATAAACTTTAAGCTCTTTAAGTGTTGCTATCCTAATGCGACCTTTCCGTACTTAGAAGTAACACAATATACCGATTTTTTCACAATATTATTTGATTTATTTCAATGTCGAGGATGTTTTAATATTGATTTTTTTGGGCGGAGAGTTTCTATATTATATCAGATGTCCTACTATTATTATTGGGTGTGGCTACAGTTATTTGTGAGTTCTTTATTTGTTTATTTTTTTGTCAGTACTATCGTCTATCAATAGTCAGTTCCGTGATAACCCTATATTCGGGTGGTGTAACCGACAAAATCACATTCACTGATTCACACTCACGCAAAAACAATAGAAAACAACTACCAATAAAAAAAACCTCAAACAAACACTATAAAAACTATGGAGTAATCCAATAGCACTCCTGTGCTCCGCAAATTATTATAAAAAAAGCAAATATAGCCAACATGACATGGCGCTTAAAACGCCTAATAATAATACAATATTTCTATGATAGCAGTCGATTATAATTGTTTTAGGACCCGATTAACGATTGCATGCCAACCGTTTATTGTAGCCCAATAGTTTCGTTCATATTTTATTTTTTATTGTTAGGGGGTCTATTTTGATCTATAGATATTATATATTCATAAATTATACATTATACATGACCATATATATAATTATTTGACTACTGTTACAAAATCGTAGGGGTTAACACGCACTGATGCCCATGCAAACAGAACACGAATAATACTACCACCATCAACAACTTTCGACTATTGACTATAAATAACCAACATAATCGTACGTAAATTAAAAGTAATACCTAGCATACTAAAATAACGTGAAACTCAATAATGTTAGATCAAACATGTCAGATTAAAATTAGGTCCTTTTCAATTAGTTTTTAAATTTCTAAACTTCGGTGTTCTTCTATTACATATTTTCAGGTTTATCGCAGATCGAACAGACATGATCGATCATAAGCGAAGAAAATTACTTAGACAATACTTTTAAGCAAACGATTGGTGGACGTTATTTAATAATAAATAAATTAGATTAGTTACGTCATCGGGATAAGTAAAATATTTTTAGGGAAACTGGTATTTTTATTAAGGTGCTAAACATTTTGCGTATCTATTGAACGAATATACATTTTTTTTTAATGGAAACCTTACAACTTTTTCTATGAGAGTTAAACCGTCGATTTTTAATTAAAAAATAAGTTATATGTATTAGAAAAAATCACAATAAAGTATAAAATATATATTTATTAAATTCTTATAACACAACTTTAGCCTCAGAAAAAAAATGTAAATCGATTTAGCACCTTGGTTTTATTCTCAATTTGTAAAGAAATTTGACCTTTTTTTAAAGATGAACTTGGGGATACTTAATTTTTTTTTTACTTTTGATAAAATTATAAAACGAATAAAAAGTAGAAAATTTCATAACTCGTAATATAATATAATACTAGCGCAATTTACTAAAAGCTGAAATAAAAAAACGCAGATAACAATACTAGTATCTACATAAAGATAATATCATGTTCGGTGTAGAAACAATAACGTTTTTATAGAGATAATAATAACTTTTTTTATCATTAGCATTCCAAAGCGCCTATAAAGGTGTGAACACATGGCTTTCATAATAATTATAATTATTATAAGAGCCATTCGATCAAACACCATCCAAATAAAACGGTTAGGCACGCCCTTTTTACACGAGCCAACGGATCCCAAACAGCATACAATTTTGAAGCGACATGCAAATATTTACATTTATGCTTAAACAAAAACGGATAGTAAAACATTATCGAGTGTTTGTACGGTTTAACGGAAAAATAACGAGCTGCTCATAAACTAAAAACAGCTTAATAAAAAATTATTGTGTCTACTCCGAATATAAGGTGTACTATTTTTTATTTAAAATGCTCTACCACTCTAATCAAATTACTCTTTTTGCACCACTGACATGCTAACCTGAGATAACAAATTTAAGAAGACGATTTGGCAGATTTACAAATAAGATATTACTTTAAGACAAAACGGGTTTTTAAATCCTTTTTGTTTCACTATTTTCCTTCAAAGTAAGCAACTCATAAGATTAACTCTAAAAACACTGATTATCTAAGTCTACAGCTTTTCAATAAATCTTCAATAACTAACTTTAATAGAATATGAACACATAATGAATAAATTAGGTTAATAGATATTTTATTATTAAATAAATGAGAAATGTATTTGTTGCTCTACGATTGCAACAACAAACAATTATATGGTTCTTTTATCCACGAATTATTAGTTTATTATAAAATTGATTGACAAAATATTTGTACATAAAAAATACTATCGAAAATTAATGTGTACAAAGTACAACTCTTTTAGAAAAAATATTTTTAAAAACCATAAAATCACAGCTTTCTTTTAATTCATCAAACAAATTTCTGTTTTTCATAAACAAATATTTAAAAGCAAATAATATTTTCTTTGGATTTCTTTTGTAAACTTTTGATATACAACTAACAATTACTAATGAACATTAAAAATTAATGTATATGCTATTTTTAATAGGGATAAAAGGTTTTTAAAAACCCGTTACATTGCAAATGTACATTCAAATCTCGAAATTATTCATTATAGGTCAAAAATTGCTAAAATGCTAAAATTAGGAGTTTTCAATTGATAATTTTTGATTTATTAATAAAAATAAATATCAATAAATATAATGTACAAAATTTCAGAAAAAAAAAAATTTCAACATTAAAAATCTTTAGCAGAAACTAAATTAAAAATTTGGAATTAGGAAATAAAAAAAATATAAATTTTATCATACATTAAGTAACTTTTAACCGATTTATAATATTTTTTTCTTAAAACATCTACATTTACTATTGGACTACTTTAACGTAAAACATATTAACGCAAAATTAACAGTTGTTAATTTTGGTTCGTCTGCTTTATAATTTAATATGTTTTGTGTCAGCTTAATTCTAACAGTAAACTTATCTATTTTGTCTAAGCACTTCATTTTTTTAAAAATAAAATAAACCTAAAATAGTTCTTAGCACTAAATCATGATTAGAAAAAAATTACAAGTATAATGTCACATAATTTATGACCCATTAAATGAAAAAACATTTTTAATATATGGATTAAATTTAATGTTAAATATGCGTAATTATTTATAATAAATGAAACGTTTAATGTTTTAGTGCTGCCTAACCAGCTGAGTTAAAAATTACCAACTAATACACTAGGTACCTATTTAATATTACATAAATGAAAATGTATGCATGTTTTGACAAATGTCATCAACGTGATACTACTTTAACCCTTTACTAGTGATGTGTTTTTCAACGTTATTAGTGATGTGCGGTATGGCATAGTGTATATCCTTAAATTTTCAATTTTGTGAATTAGGTTTTTCATTAAAACCACTTTTATAAAAACATGAAACACATACAAGACATACAAGTGTCTATATTCTGAATAACTAGGGAATATAGTAAGGATTAAAAGGAGTAATACAAATAAGATATGCTAGCTTATTATTACAAAGCATGAAATACAATACCTAAGACTTAAAATATAAACATATAATTATTTCTAAATAGTTTAAGTTATCTAGGAAAATATTCATAACTTCATTATACATATACCGGCATTATCTTTAAAGACATTACAAACTGTAAAAATGTGTACTATAGAAAAATATTTCAATAAACAGAACTGATTATCTATTATTAATACATTTCCTACAAAAAATACATTTTTTGGAAAAAAATGTCACTTTCTCTCCTACAGAAGTGAAAGTTAACAGCAAAAATAACATTTGTCCTAGTTATTATAAACAATAATTATCAGTTATCGACAATATATTAAGCAGACAAGTGACACATCTAAAAATATAATTTATAATTTTGTTTTTTAATACGACCACTACTATTAATATATTTAGACAAATGTATAGCTCAAGCGCCTCAAAGGCCAAAACAACATGAATGTTAATAATAGCAATGTGTTAGTATATTAGTGTTAATTTAAATTAAGTCATAAGTGTATAGACTTTCAAAAGTAATGAAATTATGGCAAAACACTTACCTAGTCTGGTCAAGTAGCCTCTGTTGCGCATCCAACGGAACATATTTGTCCACCTTCCTACTGGCAAGTGCCGTAACTATAAAAAGCAAAGTTTTAAGAAATTGAGTTTTTTTTTATTAGTTGAGACAATAATTGAGTCAATTTTTGGCTACTACTGGTAAACACTGTAACTACCTCGTACATACAATTGTTTCATTTAGGTTTTATAGGTTCCTGCTTTTTCGTTTCAGTAAATTTCTAAATTGTACAGCCCCACTTTAAATAATTAATGATACCACACTTTAAAACGGGTTTTTGAGTTTTATATGACTTTTTAATGATTTTACTTATAGCAACAAAAATAGACAATCTTCTAACAATAAAAAACTATGTAAAAATATCATCTGCAAAATGTTGGTAGTTACAGCGCTTGCCAGCTGTAGGAGAGCAGAATTTCGAATTGTAGGTGGTTCGATTAACAAGTGGACATACTGTTCATCAGCATAAATACGACTGGACGCTGTGGCATTGATACATATTCCTAATTTAAATGCCAACACGTTTATTAAAAAAACAACTAGACTTGATTCATAAAAGTAATTAATATAATTTATAAATCATTAATTTTATAATTATTTAATTAATAAATTTAAAAAAATAATTGACTCTTTTAAGCGCTAACCGCAGATAGGGAACTATAATTTATAATATTATGTAATAAAGTAGCGTCTTTGGAAACAAATTTTCGAAACTGTTTTAAATAATAGTATTCAGATACGGCTCTAAAATAATAAATGCATAATCGGTCGATAGTAGTACCATCAAGTTACTTACAATGTTGTACACTTGTATGTTTTCTTGTTGTGTTTTCTCTGTTTGATGATATGAGAAGAAAACTATAGCAGCGTTTCGAAATTGTTATATACCAATGCAGTTACAGATACTGAAACAACATAGAAAAAAAACGTATTTTATTTTCATTTAAAGAAAATTTTAATTTCGGCAGAGATAGCATTTGCCAATATCAGATATCACAAGTAATAGCCGTGCCCGTATCTGTAACAATATAGATAGTAAACAACCAATATTATGGTATGTGTACGACCACAGTAGTGGTTATTCGTTACTTACAGGGTTATCAGCTACTGCTGCCCTGACTCAGAACTTAGTTCTCGCTTCTCAGATAGGCTCCCATCATAACTCATTAGCAAGTCGTGACCTTTTCAGATTTCAGAATTCTGGTTTCTGATTTCAGTACATACATACAGATTACAATATATATAAGTAATGTAATATTGTGTTCTGTGTACATTAGCGTCTAAATAACTGGGAAATTAAATCAAGGAAATACTGTACTTAATAAGTTTATTCCGTACATAATAATATATAGTTTCCATTATCTATGGGGAAAATAGGTATTTTAAAACCGATGGGTTTCACACTTGGATCACAGAAAATACTAAAATTAGTCTATTCTGTGCTTAGATAATGAAGTAGTAAACAATAAAATGTTTTACATAGATACAAATACCAATAAATTACTCGTGTGTACATAACGGCGTAAAACCAAAAATCGAAAGTGAGGCAATTAGACAAGTTATCAGTACCTATCGTTTCACTGATAAACGATAATGGATTTTTATTGGGTAGACTGCACAATAATAATACACCTTGATAATAACAATACAGAATAGTGAATACTGATAATTCTCTCTCTTCGACAGATAGTAGTAACTCGAACCATCGGTTACAAAAAAATAAAATCAATACAGACTTATTACAATAATATAATATATGTATTGATAAACTCTGTATACTGCTGCACTTTGTAGTCAATAACGTTACATCATCAAGTATCGCATCGATTTCCCTTGGGTACTCGGTTGTATCTGCTTCGTTACGTGTTGGTTAGGCTTCCCTCGTCGTGTTGTGTATATGTGTGTGTGCGCAAGTACTTTTGTTTTACAAGATAAAAATTAAATCACTAAATTGTTTTTTTGTTTTGGCGAATTGTGTACACGAGCATGACCGTTGCGTAGTAAAATAGATATTTGACAAAAGTGAGTAAAATTTATTATCTGGACATTTTAATATTATTATTTGTTGCTCTAACTACAAAGTCTGTCACTCGTTAGAATAGAAAACCGCTACTTGCAATTAGTCCCATAAAAATATTATTTACCTTCACGCACTACCTCAATAATATATTCATTTTTTACTATTTTATCAAACTTTTTTGTTTTTATCTAATTTGTTTATTAACGACGGAAAGTTATATTTAAAGTATTGTAGTTAAGGTGTAGCTGATAATAATGTCATGTTGCCAGGAAAACTTGTAATCTTTGTCATAGCCATAAACCTATATTGTTAAAATGTTTTTCTAAACCATTTTTTTTTTTTTAAATACATGTTCAAGGAACTGATTATTCAAAATTGTCATGCTTAGATACCTACTGTTTATAGAAGGTAAACATTGACTTACAAGCTTGTATTTTGTTCACTTCATCGTGCAACACATTTTATTATAATGAGATTTAAAAGTTATTAATTATTTTCATTGAAAACGATGCCTGTTTCGTTTCAACATCCAAAGCTAAAATTTGTCTCGGTTAGGTTAAATTCCATAGTCTTTAATGAAAACTAAATAAATATAATTAAATATTTCCTCACCAGTTTAGTCTTAAAGTTGTAGTATTGTGTTATACTAAGTTCGTTGAGAAAATATAGTTGCGCTGAATCAAAAACGCACTACTATTGTATGAGCCTGCGTATAAGTACTTAATTTTTAAGCTAAACTGATAAAGAGTGGCCATTTAATATGTGTTTTACTCTATATTATGATATAAACAATTTATAATTAATTATATATTTAGAATCGTTACAATTTTTATAAATAGCATACAAACTTAGACATTATTTAAATTATTTTTATTGAAAAAAAAATACATTAAAAATATTTAATAATTATTATTTAAAAAAACATTCTATTTAAATAAAAAATTAAATACATTTTTATTTGAAAAAATAATGATTTAATATATTTTCAATTTAACTAAATAATTTTTTATTTTATTATTAAGTTTAATTTATTGGAAATTAAAAATAATAATCGTTTCTAAATAATTGTTTGTTTTTTAAATAAAAAATGCTCAGTTTTGTTAATATATGAGCTATGATTAATTTATTTAAGACAACTCCTAAGTTTAAAAAATGACCAACTTTAATATTAATTTTTTCTGTTGGTAACTAAAAAATAAATGAGTTACTTAAATTTAATAACTGCTTACCTCTCACTTATAAAACATTTATTTTTGTTATTAGGAAAATAATATTGGTTAGCTACTATGCCGCTCTTCTACAGTGTTGTGGCCAGAGGAATGGTCGTACTGGCGAAGCACGCAAACTATCAAGGTAATTTTGGAGAAATACTGGAAGGCGTCCTTATTCAAATTGGTCCAGAAAACAAAAAGCAAAGTCTTTTGCATGATCGCTACTTATACCATTATATTTGTGAAGATCAAATCATATACATGTGTATAACAGACGATGTAAGCAGAAAATATATTACTTTTTAAGATACATATTTTTATAAAAAGTTAACATATTTATATATTTCAGGAATTTCAACGATCAAAAGCTTTTTTCTTTTTAAATGAAATAAAACGACGGTTTCAAGCCACTTATGGTCGTCGAGCTTACACTGCTATCGCTTATTCCATGAATTCTGAATTTGCACCAGTGCTTGCTTCTGAAATGGTACACCTTTAAAAATGATTGAATAGTTTTGCCATTTAAATCAGTTGTGGACAATTATGGCTTATAATTAATTTTTGTATTTTTTTTATAGAAAAGATTTTCTAGTCCCAGTGAATATGATGCTCTGTCGAAAGTTCATGGTGAACTTGATGAATTGAAAGATATTATGGTTCGAAATATTGGTAAATTGAAATGATTTAAACTTTAAAAACTTTTTAGATGTCAAGATTTTTTCAATGAAACATTTTTATTTTAGACAGTGTAGCTCTACGGGGAGAGAAACTGGAGCTTTTAGTCAATAAAACCGAAAACTTATGTTCGCAATCAATGAATTTTCGAGTTCAGAGTCGAACGCTCCAACGTTCTTTATTTTGGAAAAATGTTAAAATATATGTCCTATTTGTCTTAATTGGACTTGTAAGTACATTTTTTAATTACTCTATACTCTGCTCTTGCACATTGTACTATTTTCTTTATCAAATAATAAAATAATGCATTAAAAATAAAAATAAAGTTTTTCTCTACCTAAGAACATAAATTGTGTGACTAATATATTTACATAATAATTATAAAATTGTATTCAACTTTTTATAATACGTGAACTAAGATAGTTATCGTGAAATAATGTTATTCAACATATATTTAAATTGAACGGGGGAGTTTTTTATTTAAAGCAATGTCTAATAAAAAACCTTGTAAGTTTGAAGTTGGTTTACAACAATACATGAGTCGAATTTAGTATAGTTTACGTTGTCAAAAAAACTGTCTTGTTATTACACACAAAAATACTATACCACATTTGATTAACCATTTATAGGCGCAGGCAGACAACGCACGGTCGCCAATTTGAATCTCAGCTACTGGCGGCAATTTGTTCCTTTGGGCAGGCAACTATCTGGGGGAGAAATGGCCACTTGCACCTCTCTCTCTGGGGTTAAAATGTTTGGTAGCATTAGGTCGGCAGCCAGCTATAAGCCCAAAAATTCCAAATCTAAGCCCAGATCAGTGGGAATAACAGACGTTAAACATAAGAGAGATTTAATTAACTAATATTAATTTGGCCAAAAAACATTCAAATTAAAAACAAATTTTTAACACTATTCTTTCCTAAATAGAACACACTCAGACAAAATAGGCATAATACCAAAAACTTTATTGAAAAGGACATAAAAAAAAGTCAATTAATTAAATTGTTGTTTATTTAAAAAAAATTAGCAATTTATATTACTACATTTAAATAAGTACAATTTTTTTTTCAGGGTTTTCTCTACTTCATTGCCGTTTTCTACTGTGGATCGCTTACACTTAATTGTAGTTAATTATTAAATTTTAATTGTCTGTTTGTCTTTGAACTGTTGGTATCACCCAAAAATATCTAAATAATTTTTTACAAATTATGTAACCATGTACTTCCTTATAAAAACAATACATAATAAGTATATTTATAAATACATTTTAGTGTAAGATATAATTTATAATAATTATTATTATTATAAAATTTATATATCTGAGTTTTACACACTTTTTTTTTTATTATTGGAGAATTTTTATATCTATATATATTATTATTTTTTTTTTTTTATAGGTCTATATGTACAGTTATTTATAAACTATAGCTATTGTGATAAATCATTTGTTACTTATACTTAAATAAAACAAATTTTGTTTTTCCATTGCTCTTTATTCCTAGGAGAGTAGATTCCTAGTAGGGAAAGCATTCTTGTGCAATCAGTTAATGGCACTTGTTGTAGTCTCTGAATACTGCGAGAAATGTTTGTACTGTGCTGGGAATCGAACTGATGACTGTACGCGTAATATCCAACGGCATGACCGCTGCACAATACCGGCCACCCACCCCACATTTAACATAAATATGTAAATGTATATTATAATTTGATATAACTAATTACTCATAAGGTCATTATTTTTCCAACCCATCAACTAGTTTTCAAAATATCTTATAAATTGTTTAATAGTGTAAGAGCAAATCAAATGTGTACCTACACACCATGCTCTAATTATATTGATAATTCACTTTGTTCACATGTTGAAATTCAATAAGTAATTTTAACATGAGTTCTATTAAAAAGCTTATATTTATAGATATTAAAAAAAACATTTTATTACATTATGATATAACAATAATATAAACAAAATGTAAAAATCCATTGAATTTAAACTTAATGTGATCAACGTACCTAGCGTTAATAATTACAGCACTTGTTCTAGTATATATTGCTTAATGATTATTATAAAGTTAAAAATGTATTGCTAGACATAACTAAATACTAAAACTGATCAAATTCTTACAATTCTTAAAACACTAATACAAATTAGTGTAACTTCTTAAATATAATAGATAGTAGGTACCCATAATTATTACTTAATTAAATTACCATAAAAAGTTAATTTAATACCATATAATATTTTTTTAAAGTAAAGTTGTAATTTATCTCTTTTAAGTATTTTTTGGGTAATGAGACTGACTTGAGAAGTACCTATTGATGCTATAGGAATTAGGATACAACTAATTTCGTGAGATCGTTTTTAGAACAGACCTAGAATTTTATCATTATTTGTTGTTTATTAAATTATTTATAATTTTGTGTAAAATAATGTTGTAACTTGTAATATTGTAAAAAAGAATCAATGATTCCGAGATGTATATGTCTTTTTTTGAACAAAATAATTTTTAAAAAATTACTGAGATCTATCTTTAAAAGTTGCATTGCTATTCATTTCCTCAATCAGTTACCAAATGTTAGCAGGTTATTAACATAAAAACTTAATTTAACTTGATAACATAATGGTGCATTTATTTATACATTTTAATATACCACAACTTAAACTTGAACAGTTATAAATAATAATTGTTATACCATAAATAACATACAAAATAATAATAATACACAACTTATAAAACACATTAGGCCAATTCTCTTATCTTCCATTTTCCTCGGTTACTTTTTAGTATTGGATAAATATTCTCGAAGGCGTCAACAATTTCTTGACGTACTTTAGCACCTTTAAATAATATTTATTAAGTTACTTACAAGAAATTATTTTTTTTTAGAAAAACAAATTTATTATTAATGGGATATAATATAAAGGCAAATAATAAACTGAAATCTGACTTATTTTTGAATAACTTTATGAGTAATAATATATCATTGAATATAAAAAATAAATTGGCAGTTTTTTTCATAAACTCCATGAGAAGCTAGGTATTTTTTTAAATATATATTTTCACTTTATTATATGGCTATATCCCATTATAAAAGTCCAAAAACTAACAAATTTATGTTGTAATAAGTTATTTTCTAGTTATATTACCTGTTATAATGATTTTCCCCGTCGCAAAAATCAGCACCACAACACGTGGTTTTATCATACGGAAAATGATACCAGGAAACAACTCAGGTTCATAACTATATTACGGACAAAATATACAAATTAAATGGCTATATCAGTTGGACAAAAACTCAAATACTGTTTTCATAATTTGTATGTTATCAAGGGTGGGAGCATCCCCCTAGCCCTTCTGCAAGTTAAAAAAAATAACATTTAATATCCCCATTTCCCCAAATCCATTACAAAATCATAGGCGCCCCCTGACTTTTCACCTGTGGGTGCTCTTAAAATTAAATTGCATTCTCATAATTTTTGCCCAGAAATTTAATGTGTTCCAAAATATATTGTTTAAATATTTAAAAAAATATTATTCATAAAACTAAGACGTTAAATTTCCGACCAAAATATTTTTAAAAATATAAATAAATGTTTTGCCAACCGGCAATAGTTTTTTGATAAATTAATAGATCTAAATATGTAAATGATGAAAATTTAAACAAACCTGCTAAATGGCCTGTGAGCGAGGTCTAATTTTTCGAGGCGAATAATAAATTCTACATCACAACTTCCGACAATGTTTTGAATTTTAAAATTCAAAAATTTTGCCTTGAAGAATTGAAAATCCGTTAATTATTTATGTTGCTATTTATTATCTACTGTTGTGTTACTATTGACTTACTACGGGAAAATTAAGCTTTTGAATAATTTTAGCAAATTTCCTGGCGGCCAGCTTAGAGTCAGTTTCGCTTTTGGCACCGGTAACTACCAATTTGCCCGAAGAAAAAATTAGAGCTGTAGTGCGCGGTTCACGTATTCTCATGATTACTGCGCTTATTCGCGTAGGGTCGAACTCAGAATTTTTTGATTGTAACGCGATGGCTTTTAAGTCGAGCCGACAGCCCATATCAACAGTCGATACAATATTCCTTTGAAAAAAATTAAAAAATTGTTCGTCAATTTAAAATACAATTATTGTTTGAAGTAACTATAATTTCGTACTGTAATTTTGGCGTTAGGTTTGCGGGAACACGGTAATGCGGAAATGTTGCAAATCTCATCGTGTTTTCTTTGTATTGGTCAGATGTTTTGAGTGTCTTAAAAAAAAAATGATCTTGTTACGAAAAAATAGGAGGAAATCAAATGCATGACGTGTAAAACACATATTACCGGGGACGGTCTGCGAACGATTTTGTATCCCATTTCACCACGCTCGTATGGAATTAAATTTTCCGAATACAATATCTGGTTTTGTTTGGAACTGATAATAGTAGATGAACTTTGTGTCTGAACAGGAGTCATTTCCACTTCCATTTCATGTTCGTTTCCTTCCGGTAATAAATGATCCATTTTCAACAATAGAAAAAAAATCCTAAATACATTTAATTGCTTTGATAGATTTACGGCATAGAAAACAACTCTTGTCTATAAATTATAAGGATTGATATTGTGCAAGTCATTTGACTACGTTGACAATCGATTGTTTTTTTACCATAGAGACAACTAAAATATCGCCTATTTTGATTACATGTTCCGTTAGAAGTAACCCAAGATAATAAGGTAATAAAATTAGATAATAAGGTACATCGTATCGTAATTTAATATCTCTTATATGTTTTTGGCATCGTAGAGAGTAAAACTTCTTCCCTTAGAAGAAGTAGAAACTTCTTCTGTTTTCAGTTCTCAGCTGTTCAATTATAAAATGTCTACAGGCCACAGCTGCCTAAAAAATAATTTCCAATGGAAAAAACGCATACTTTTTTTAGCGAGTAGGTACATGTTTTGAAATTTTAAAATTTTATGTCTAAGTCGAACTCAAGCCAATGTTTACTCTAACCACTTCCTACGACAATTTTGTCTCTTCCCACGAAAAATTAAAGTATACGCCACTGCTCTCAACCCATCAATACCGCCACTGAATTCACCCTCGCTAGTAGTAGCCTCTCAACCAGGGATTCTTTTTTTTTTTTTTGAAAACAACTTTTTTTTTATAACGTTTATTTAAAAACAATTTCGTGAGTAAGTACATGCTAGCAAGCACAACGTTCAATCAACGGCGGTTATATAGAAGGGGCAAAAAAAACATTTTTATTAATATCATAAATAAAACTTTAGTCCGTCATCGACATGCTGACGGCGGTGACCAGCGACGGCGGTGGCGGTGATTGCGGATCCGGTGGTGATTTCCACGGTGGCGCATCGAAGTCGTCCGGGTATTCAGCCATCAGACGGGCGAGGACACACTTCCTTATTGGAGGACTGGACGGCGCGCGCTCTGACGGCACCACCACCGAGTTGTCCAGCTTGCGAATGTGAGGCAACATGCGCACCACCGTCGACCGGTAGTCGGCCATGGCTGCCAACGGATTTCCGCTGAACGTCAGCGTTAACAGTTTGGTCAACCTGCGCAACTTATATACCTCCACCAGATCCGAAATCCGGTTGTTGTGCATGTACAGCACGGTCAAATTCGGGAACAATAACAACTCCTGCAACATTGAAATAATTAACTTAAACTTGAAAAAGAGACTTGACCAAAGATATTTACTTGGCATAGCTGTTTGACCATAGTCCACAGGCACGTAGCCTAGATATGTGTACATGGGCCCGGACTACCCCCCCCCCCCCCGAAATTAATTAAATAGTTAATACTGGTCCAAAAAGAGCATATAAGAAGAACAAATTCAATAATTGTAAATTCTACATTAAAATGAAAAGATAGTAGGTACATATGCTACAAATTCCCAGTGTACAATAAAAACTTTAGAGGACGTTTTTTTTCAATTTTTATTCGCGTTTCTTTGTTCTGAAAAATGCGTTGTGATATCAGGTTTTACCCCTCGAGCGGCGAGCCCCACTTAAAATACAATATATTACGCGAGATCAATAAACTTCTGTAACTTTATAAATATGACGTTCAATTTCTGGTTTCCCCATCAAGTTTAAACAAAAAATGTATTATAAAAAAAAATACTGAAAAATGTCAACTTAAACAAAGCTATTTTATTTTGCAATGTCTATAGCTACAACAAAATATGACTTCATCATAAAAAATTCACAGATTAATTAAAAAGTATTTCATAAAAATAGTTTTCCCATTATACATAGTACATGTGTAATATTAATCTTTTTTTAAGAGAGCTTCAGTCCTCAAAGCCTCCTTTCCATTTGCGCAATGCCTTACCCGGTCTAAAATCAATATTCTGGCTACTTGCTTATTTTTGACTTTTTTTTTGCTATATATATATAGTCTCAGTGTGTCGTTAGCGCTGAAGATGACAAAATTATGAGGGTATTATTTTTATGGTTAAAGGTTTAAGTGTTAATTTCTTTACTATTGTCTTTATGCTTAAGCTGCAATCGTTTGCTGTCAAACGATTGCAGTTTAAGCAATGCTGTGTATATGGCTCTCAGGTCTAAAAAAGCTCATACTACAAGATTGATCCATCGAGATGGACCTTTGTTGACCTAAGGTATTTTGGACTCTTCTTATATATTATATAGGTCCTTCTTATTCCTTGTTCTACTTACAGGGTTTACCGCCATCAGCCTATTGCTAGACAGGTCTAGCCATGACAAATAGTCTGCTGATACGAGTAGCCTTTCCGCAAGTTTCCTAAGTCCGTCGACGTGAATGAGGTTGTTATTGTTAAGCCAAAGCGATCCCGTCTGGTAGCGGTTGGTTTGTCTGTTTATTGTTGGCGTACCGTGTACCCTAGCTGAGAGCGGTTTTTCGCCGGCGTTCAATTCTACAATAATTAAATTATGTTACAATTCATCACGAGAAATCTGTTATGACCACAAAATACACCTATATGGATAATCAACGACGGCCTTACTAAAAAAAATGTACAGTGTAGTTTAGTTAAAAAGTCCACAAAAAAAAACGTAATTTATTAAAAAAAGAGCATTTATCAATAAATGTAATGTATAGTGCTGAGCTGATAGTCAGAAATGATATACACATTTGTAGACTTCAAGAATTCAAAATATAATGGAAATATTAACATAAAATAATTGAGTTTTAGTGATTTCCTTCATTAGCTTTATTTATTCAAAAATAAGTTTACACAAAAATTACAATAATAAAAAAAATAATTATTTGAACACGGTAGAAAATAACAATTTTGAAATCAGGTTAAATAGTACACAAAACCTATCAAACACTGTAACGTCTAATATACCGACCTTAAAAAGACGTAGTATGTATGTGTGACGTATATGTAAACATCTACATGATGCCTATAGTTAGTAATTAGTATATATATGCATCACACAATTAGTATATATGTAGATTAATTTAAGTGTCTATCAAAATACTTTTTATTGGAATAACATTATAATTGTCAATAAACGTATGGAAATATTTTAGATAGACGCATCATTAATTTACTGATATATCAATAGACAACTCTACATTAAAAAAAAAAAGTAAAAATGAATTATAATTTATTTTATTATAATAATATACACTGTAGTGATATTATAGTGACTAGGTATAACAAATAAATGCTTAATACTTAATGAATATAGAATATATTAGAGCACAAAAAAAATTGAAATGTATGTAAAACCACTGCTTGATCGGATGGATAAAATATAATAGAGTGGGATTTAATTGTTATGTAAAAATATCAAATTGTAAACTCGATCCCCATCAGACTCAATAGCAAAACAGTAAAAAAAATGTGCTTTAAATTGCAAAACACTTCTCTGGTTTGTTGTAAAAAAAACAGATTTCCAAATAAGTGTGAGACAGTAAAATATTATGTCTAAATCTCAAACGTGAAATACTTAATGCCACTCAGAAAAATGTGAAGGAAGAGAGGAAGTGTTAACTATTTTTCAATAGCAAGCGGTTTAAATGTCCTCATAACATACATTATTGCGTATAGCAAAGAGAGAGGGGGCTAGAACCAAATTTAGGCTAAATATATAGGGGGGCTAAGACCGAATTCAGGCTGCCAGACCTTTAATTCATCAAAGGTCATTTTTATTTAAACACGACTAATAATCTTCATAAATACAAATCAAGAGGTGTATTCATAGATTCGGAGTATATATATATATATATATATATATATATATATATGTATACACCACGCATCTTTTGTATATATATATATATATATATATATGTATCGCAGTAAAGTAGCCCCATTCAAAATATAATTTAACTGAAGTCAAATGGCTTAGGTTGTCTGAGGCGTCTGTATTTGAATATTAATGTCAGTATTTTTTTTTACTTTAAAACTTCAACATGTTTACAAAATGAATATATACATATATACGCTAGATATGCTATACATATTTTTCTCTACAAGTGAGTTTTACACTATCCTAGTCTTATTTAAATCGGCCAGAGTTTTTATTATTTTACCCTTAAATAGCAAGTAAAAAATTGTTAAATAGCAACAAACATTGTTTATTACGTACCCCCAACGGTTTTTAAACTTTTAAAAGAATAGTCCAGTGGCTTGGCGCTCTTAAACCAGATGTATTCGCTATTCTCGAGTGATTCTTGTGTTTGCATTTCGCCTGTGTTTGAAACGTGCTGCTGTTGTTTGTGTAATGTTTAACGTTTGTTTAAGTATTTTAATTCAAAAGTAAAATGTTTTTAATCGCTATGGAGAATAAAATATTGACATTTTATACATTTTGCTATGCGCCTGCCTACAAATATCCTCTCAACAAGATAACCATCTCAAATAATACCTTTACCTGATCATTTACTTCAAAATAAATTAAGAGCATATGCAAGTAATAGGTATTTCATACTTATAAAAATAGAAATTATTCCATTATTAGGTATTGCTAATAATAATAATTTGTCAGATACATTTAGCTATGAAAGTTAAATAATGATAAAAAATGGAACAATGTAATTTAAAGAGACATTAGCTGAAATTTAAAATAATATGGAGGTGGATTGTAAATACAAATACGTCGAACATAACACAGCTTTGTCGCTCACACCATTGACTGCTATTCTTCTTCGTCGCCAAAGTTGTCCTCTTGGTCATTATTGTTCTATAAAAATAATATACATCAATTCGTTTTAAAATCAACTTTGTAAATCTAGAAAGAAGAAAATTTAAAGAAGCAATTTTTCCATTTTTAACATACAAAAATTACTATGCATTTCCCAAACTAGTGTCCTTTCCGACTCAACTTTTTCATGGAATACTTAAAAACCTGAATTATTTTTAATTTAATTTTTCGATGTTATAATTTTGCATTTTGTAGCACAGAAACTACCCAGAAAATACTAGGTTTGATCAAATACCTAGTTAATACTTTTATTTTTCTACATAAAAAAATTGTTTTTTCTGAAGCATTCATTCTGTAATAATCATAGAATTATAATAAAAACTATTATTTAGGGTTAAATTAATTTTTAAAAACCAGCAACACATTAGTTTTAAGATTTTTTGTATAAATAGCGTAAAACAAAATGAAATACTTTTTTTATTTAATTTTAACTGCAATTAGAAACTATTTTACCATAAGTTCATAATTTGATCAGTTTAAAAATTGTTCTAGAAAAATAAAAAAAACAATAATTAAAACGAAGTTTATTTGGAAAAAAAAATTTTAGATTGCTTCATAGTAGTTGACTAAAACGAATTAAATAAAAGTAGATCCCCTTGATCAGATTAGGGCAATAGGCCAAGGGACCCTGAAACAAATTTCCATAGAATTATGTCCAATTATTGTATCCTTTATTTTAATAATTAACAAATGCAAGTCTAAGGCTATTTCAAAATTGTTTGGTGCCAAATATTGGGAATATAAGAAATGCCAAGGAAAAAATCTTCATCTAGGTTTTCTTTTATATTAACCCTATTAAAATTTGTAATTATTATAGGTCGGTACCTACTTAGGCTATATAGGGCGTTCAACTATGTAAATAAATTACCAGGACGTAGGTAAATCAATACCAATTATGGTTAAAATAGTTTGCTTTAATTTACCAGTTATACATTTCAAATTTAGGAACGTCAACAAATTGTACGATTCAATAATTCAAAAAGAAAACCAACATTTGTTAAAATAAATAAAAGGCTAAATAGGTTTATCAAAACAAGAGATAACTTTTACTCAAAAAATTTAAAAAAAAGTAATACAACTATTTTAACAAAATCATCAAAAATATTATGTTATTTTAATTATTAACATTGATTATAAATAATTTAAATATTATTTATGATCAATGTTATTAGTCAAAGGCCGGCCGACTTTTAAACAGTCACACTAGAAAGTTGTTAGTTAGAATTAAGGATTTATATAAAGGTCATATAATCGTCCCATATTTATTACATTTGAGACTAACAGGCACATAATAGTTATTGATAAATTCTGTTTCAAGTTATAACTTATAACTATAGTTACTGATAATAACGTTATTCCAAGACACTTCTGCAGATATACAAAACTAACATACAATAAAAAGAAAAATTAATAAACCAAACCAATACTTTATTCATATAAGCTTTGGTCGTAAAACAATAACAAAATTAGTTTAAATATCTTTTTTTTTTAACTTGATAAAATAGGTTAAAACAAACTTTAACCTCATTTCTTTTTTTTTTTAGTTTAAACATAAATAATAAAAGGTAATACAAATTGTCAACATTAAATCGATCAAAAATCATAATTTTTAACAAATTATGAATCATAGTTTTAAAAATAATAAAACAGTAAAAAATATAACTATTAACAATTGTAAACTTTTGAATCATTCCAGCGAGCATGTTGATTTTTACCAGCCATCTCCGTCATCGCCACCAGCCGCGGGTTCCTAAAAAAACACATATACAATCAAATCAGAGTATATCTAGCAAATCCCATTATACAGTGTTTTATATAACAAAGAACATTAAGAAGGAATACAATTGCATCGACCTTGTTACTTCATTAAAATAACCAAAATTAAATATTTTTACGCTAATTATACAAAATAATGTTAAACACATCTTCCCCTCTTAAGTTGTTTACCAGAGTTTATTAATTTTAACAAGTAACATTGGTATCAAACCAGAATGAAAAAATTAAGTTTTTGATATGATTTAAAGAACATTAAATGAACTTAGAATTGAAAAAATGTGCAAGCTTATTGATGATAGTTGTGTAAGAAAATTCGTATAAAATTACCTTTTATGTATAAATTATAATTTGCTCGTTTATGTAAGTCAATAGAACAATTTGAAAGCATACAAGATTGTTTAATATCGTTTTAACCCTAAATTATAGTAAAATAAATAACTTTAACCCCTCCCCTAAAACTTATACATTTTATTTTCCACCAAAAAAAATGTTTGTTTGACAATCTTACAAATAAATTACCGACAGCACAGATGTAGTAAATAACGCCAGTGAAATACACAAATGTGGATAAAACAACAACATGTTGGTCATTACATTCATGTTGTAATATATAATTTAATAAAAAAAAGATTAATATGGAAGTTGAACAATGTAGCATAACATGGCCTAGTAATTCGAGCGGTTCAATGCAAGCCACTGCAAAGAAATTAAAACAATTATCATAAAAAATTATTACCGTTGATCTGATGTCATTGAATGACGATTGTCCATCATAGTCATTGCCACCACCATAACTGCCACCAGATAAAAATGAAGGCACTTCTTGTTCAGCCTACAAATAAAAACAAATTTTAAGTAAATCACAAAAAATAACCTCTATCTATATCATAGTATATATAAAAATTAGTATGTTCTTTGTAAAGATCACTTATTTCGATCAAAGTTGGCATGATTTTTTTTTGGATCCTCAAAAAAAAAAAACACCATGGAAGTAAGCCAGGAACCTATGGTTAGGTTTCTACCTACCCATGGGATGGATATTTCAAAAGAGAAGGATGGCTTAGGCTAGGTTAGGTTAAGGTGGAGATAAGATAGTAAGAAGGGAAAATCTATCAACCACGAATAACTCTGATAGATTTATTATTTTAATTCAACACTAATGTGATGTGTATATTTAATCCCGGGTGAAGCTGGTAGATAGTTGAAGAGGGAGGGTTGTTTCTGTTTTTTTTTAATACAAGATATTAATGTGTGATAACCACCAACCTGTTTAAGAATTCGAACCAGTTCAGAAGACAAACCGCTATCACTACTGCCATCATAGAATGATACAGCTCTTCCAGAATTTCCCAATCTACCAGTACGTCCAATTCTGTGTACATATTCATCAATGGTTGAAGGCATATCAAAATTGATTACACAATTAACACCTTTAATATCTAGACAAAAAAGCATCAACTCATATTAGCATAAAAAAAAAAACTAACTAGTATGAAGCTTGATAGACTTACCCAAGCCTCTGGCAGCAACCGCGGTGGCCACTAGTATTTTCATTTTATTATTTTTGAAGTCCCTTAAAGCTTGCTCTCTTTCAGGCTGTTCCCTATCACCATGAATACTGGTGGTAGGATAGTCTTTCTCGCTTAAAAATGCAGCAATGAAATCTGCATTTCTTTTTTGTTCGACAAAAACCATGGTACCCGAAATATCGCCTGAAATTTAATGGTAACATTCATTAAATGTGTTTTGTAAAAAAAAAAAAAGCTTAAGTAATAACCTAATGATTGTAAAACTTTTATCAATTCTTTTTTCTTTTCAAATTTAGACACTTCTCTGATTTCTTGAACAACATCTTTGCAAGCACCACCTATTTCTCCAACGGCAACAAAAGCATAGTTTGGTTTTAAAAACTTTTTTGCTAACATTTGGATATCATCAGCGAGTGTGGCAGAAAATAATAAAGTTTGTCTTGAATTCTAATATAAAAAAAATAGTTTTATCAAACGTTGGTCAATTTATAATTAATAAGTTATTTACATACCAAGTCTACCATAGTTTCGTGATCCAAAATTCTTTCGATATCTGGTTTAAAACCCATATCTAACATTCGGTCGGCTTCATCCAATACAAAGAACCTAACAGATTTAAATGAGACAATGCCTCGTCCAACAAAATCATTCAAGCGGCCTGGAGTGGCTACGATAATATGAACACCATTCTATGAACAAACAGTATATTAGTGAAAATAAACTCGAACCAAATAATAACATCACAATTTCAGATACTTACTACAATTTGAGATTTTTGATAACCAGTGGCAGTTCCTCCATAAAGCAGTCCATGTTTAATTACTGTACCTTTTGCAAGTTTGTAAACGACTTCACGGATTTGTATAGCCAATTCTCTGGTAGGCGCCATTATTACACACTGTGGTTCACAATAATCTCGCTCATATACTAAGTCATTTGGTTCACTAAGCAAAGTGTGTAATATTGGTAAAACAAATGCAGCCTAGAAATAAAAAAAGAATAATCAACACTGCCAATGTAATACAGATAGGACAGAACATTAAAACAATATAGAACGTCTTACACTATAACAACAGTCTTATAACTTACAGTTTTTCCTGAGCCAGTCTGTGCACTAGCCATCATATCTCGACCATTCATTATAATTGGTAGTGCGTATTTCTGAATGGGTGTAGGAGTGGTATAATTACAAGCAGTCAAATTATCGATGAGCACTTCGCGTAGTCCTGAACTTTTAAAATTCTCAATATGCTTTGGTACAGAATCGCCACTGACTTTAACATCAATATTTTGATATTTGTCAAAATTGGTGCCAACGTCTATACTACAGCTGATGTCGTCGTCATTAATTTCAGCTGGTATATAAGTTGGTCTAGGCTTGTCAGATACTGGTGGCTGTTCGTCATCACCGAAACTGTTACCACCATCACCGCCATCCTGCTGTCTATCATTGAATCTTCCTCTACCACCTCCCCGGCCACCTCTGCCACGGACACGTCCACCACCTTCTCTTTCGCCATCACCATTTCCATTGTAACCATTATCTCCTTCTCCACCTCCTCCCCAACTATCGCCTTGTGAATCATCATTTCTGTCATTCCTTGAGTATCCAACCCGGCCACGTCCTCTACCTCGTCCACGACCTCCTTCTCTGGATGGATAGGAGGAAGCGGGTTCAGCAGCGGTTTCAGAAAAATCCCAATCTGACATATTAGTGCTGTAAATAAATATGGCATACATTTAAAAAAAAATTATTTTTTGTTACGCGTATATAAATTAAATGGTTATATCCTCTTTAATTAGGTCCAATAAGTGCCAATCAAAGAGTAAGTGTGGCTTATCTCAAAACGAGCTAACTGCCGTAGTAAGGGGCAATATAACCCAGTTTTTATAAACATTTCCGTTAATTATTGTTATTTTGTTATACTCAATTCTCAAACACGATTTTTTAAAATATAAAACATAATCAAAGCTGTTATATTTACATAATAAATAACAAAATATTACATTTCTTTGTAGCTGAAATATTAAACTTAGTAAGTTGGTGGTTTAATATATTTTTATAATACTGTTAACAATTATTAATGAATTTTGAACCAAGTCATACATATACATAGAAGAGTGCCCTAAAACATTTACATATCTATAAGGACCAGTTCATTAAAAATAAATTGAATAGGCCATATTCATGAAGATATATTTTATATTATAATAGTTATTGCTTTTTTATCAAAACGAACATTGTTCCAGCAATTGAATCTTTAATTGTTTAGTGAACGAGTTTATTATAACCATAATTAGATAATTTTATATTATTATTAAGTAACACAACAAGTAAAAACTAATCAACAACCAAAAGGGTATCAATTAGATGTTTAGAAGGATTGTGTCAATGTTATAAATAATTGAAATATTTTTATCAAAAATTATATTTTAATGATTAGCACAGATAGAAACCAATTCTTATCTGTGATTTTATGAATTAATAATTAAGAATATGCTTATATTTTTACTTTAAATAATTTTGCAAAAAAAAATTATACTTGATAATAATTAAATTTAACTGCTAATAAAAGTTGTTTACATTAACATGTTTATAGTTTTATAACTATCACAATGAAACTGAACAACATTTTATGTTTAAATGTATATAACCAATTATGTAAAAAAAAAGAATACAAATATAATACACCATTTATGGCTTTTTTTACCAGTTTGGCTTATGTATAACTTAAAACAACTTGCGTGTAATTTTAGTATTGTTCAACTATAACTGATTTTAAGCTAAGTTTGTGAGAATGTCCGTTTCTACAACAATTTAAGTACAATAATATAAAAAACTGCAACAACCAACCGTTTTTTTAATTTTTTTTTTTATTAAAAATGGGTTTTTCACGGAAAAATTATCTACAATTTGGTGCAACAATAAAACTAATATATTCCAAGCCCATTGCAGTAAATAGCATAGTGAATTTTGTTTTGATTGCCCTTAACATTTTGTAAGTGGACATAGTCGGTTGTTGCAGTTGACCCTTCAATTCAGGTTATAATTGGATATTTTGTATTAAAATAAAAATCATTAAATTGATCTATTGTATTATTTACTTCATTAGTTATTTCATGTCATTAAAAAAAATAATAGGACGATATACATATTAAACTTGTAACTGGTACAGTGATGATAAGATTTACATTGATAAGCAGACAGTGAGGTTAGATCTCACCATTTAAGTTACAGGTTAAATATTAATAAAATAAAATGATCATTAAATAAGATAGGTAAACGAAAAAAAACAAAATGAAATAATTAATTAGTGATAAACAAAGATGCAAACATCAAATTTAGTATATTCTTGTATCAATTTTGTTCTTATCAGTTGAAACAAAACATCAGTTGTAGTTAGATATAATATGTTATAGAATTCAGTCACAATTGAATGAGTAGCGGTACCAACGTCACTAGTTAAGAGTTAAGTTAACTTACTAAAAATATAAGTTGATTTTTCTTAATTTACTGTGTTATGTAACAAGGCTTAGAAAAATGACAAAAAGTATAATTTTATATTAATTTAAATTGATGCATAAATAAAAATCTGCATTTTGTATGATTATGTTGACAACATACAAAAAGAATACAAATACAAATTTGTAAAATTAATACTTGATCATCTGTTATGAGCAGTCTGCAATATTTTAAAACTTAAATTATCTTTTAAGTCCAGTAAAATGGATCTGGTCGAAAATGTCAATCCGTAAAAGTAATTAGTACTAATTTAAGTGTTATAGAAAAAAAAATATGCAAGCAGAATGAGCGCAAAGGATTCTAAAATTTCAATATAATAACTTCATTATGGCGCAAGTTTAGGTATATTGCAAAGTAACATGTTACTTAAGAATATTTTTTATTTTCAAATCCCTAGACATGAAAATATTATTGTAAATGTAATGATTAGTAACTATAATTAAGAGATAAAATAAAATAAAATTTAATTAATTTACAAAAAACAGTACCAGTTCAATTAATTATAATTTAATAAATACGAATGCAAAACTTTGTCAAGTTATTAGCTACAATTAATAATTATAGTAACTACACTCAACTGTAAAACTTAGAATGTTTTAGGGAGGAAAAAAATTAATTTATTATTATCCTGTACAATTCCAAGTTACGAAATTATGTTCGTGATTATATGCAATTCAATAATCAAATGTTCAGTCAGATTCATGTGAAATTGACCATTTTTAGCTTTGAACCAATTTTAACTTATTTTTAAAATTATAATTCTCCCCAGAAATGTATACATTATACATCATCAATAAGTACCAAAAGCTAACAAACCAATGATACTGTAAACATTGCAGATTGGTTCTCAGAACGTTATTCGGCTGAACCTTTGACTTAAACTTAGTAGGGAATACCTACTAGGGTATTAACAAAAAATATTAACATAAAATATGCAAGCGTAATTAATTACTAGTCATTATTGTTTATTAACAAATGAAGCAAAATATAAATGTTTTGATACAAAAAAAAGAAGATGAATGAATAATAATTGGGGTGTGTGAGGACATCATGGCTATAATTAGCCCTTGCTAATGGCTAATTTTTAAATATCAAAAATATTACTTTTCTGGTTGGGTATGGAAAGTTATATAAGAATCGTTATTTTTTCATCATACAATGGCCGTGTGAAAAGTGTAGATTACAAATTTTACACCAATAAAAATAGGAATATAATAACACATAATATGGCTAATATCAATGTTATAAGATGCTTAGGTCAGGTCGTTAGGATTATCACGATGTAGCCAGACTAGGTATGCTGAACAAGTTAATCGTAGATATTACACATTGAAAATAAAAAAAAAGAGAATTGAGCAATTATCATACAAAAGGACAAACGCTTAACCAACAACCGACTTGAGTAGAAGCCGAGAGTGAAGAGCATTAATTAAGAAGGCATTTATAGTGTGAAAAGCCATGTGGTCAATCACACGGCGGGGATAACGTTCGAACGGTTAACGGGAAAATCGAGTTTAAAAAAACTAAGCGCATACTTACAATTGATAACTACGATCGTGCAATTAGTTTCCAAACAGAACACGACAATTTCGAGTCGGAAAGTAAATTTTTGAGTGATGGCCAAATAAATGCTGTCAGAAAAACGCGACTTTCGCTTAATTGTTCTTTTCGAGCGGCGAAATGAAATGGACGAAACAAATTATTAGTCAACGGTCAACGGCAGGTTAGTCCGACAAACAATGGTCCCCAATGCTATAGGGGTTCACAAATCGGGAGGATAGACAAAAGCTCGTCATGGAAGAAAATAACACATTTAACCGTCGAACTTTGGTTTTACAAATTTATAATTTAAAACGCAATTAAATAATTCCATATTATAATAATTCCTATTTATGGAAAATATTCAAATCAAAAAATTATAACGAAATCACATTTGAAAATCTCGTACTGATTATTTAAGTAATCGATTATTTTATTAATTGTTTGAATATTATTTACCGCCGTTATATTGACAGGTCTACTGGCTGTTGACGTTTGGTTGAATCGAATTGAGTCAACGTTGATTTAACGTTATCATTTATCACTAATACGGCGGAACAACATTACTGTTTTTGCCTCCAAATTTAAATTCAAAACAAGGGTTATTATTAATTTTAACAAATCTATTTGATATTTTGACGTAAATTGTAATATGACTGAGAAAAAAATTAAATGAGAATGACTGAGAGCTTTGAAAAAGTGTGATAAATCGAACATTATGATACATGTTCAAAACCTACGGATTAAATGTTAAGCAATAAGCATTACATGTTTAAGCTTTGAAAGTCAGATGTTATTTCATAATATAACTAAAATTTTAAGATCGAACAGGTTTAGACAATTTTATGATTTTATTCACTGTTTCAACAACATTTGTTGTTCTTTTCTTTCTTTTTTTTTTTACGCCATAGTTTTTTAAGTTTATTTTACTACATTTAATATAAACAGAGAGCTGTTTCCTGTTATTAGGTAGTTTAAAAACGTCTGTTAAACAAAAGCAATTGAAAATTGTGTTATAACTATAGTCAATATTAATGTATACGATAACGTCTGATCCCTTATTATTATTGAGTATACGATAATATTTAATATACATGATAAAAAAGTAAAGTTTAAGTATGTTATATGTAGCAGATAGATATTTAAATTTGGTGACTGCGTTTTATACTTATATAGAAATATTTGTCCCAAAATTAAGGTTTTGACTTTTATTACTCAAAAATATACTTTGAGAATAAGTTTTATATTATAATGCATTTTAATAGTCATAAAATAGAACTAATTTTCTTGTGATAGTAATATTATTATTATTATTATTATTAGTACATAAACTGTATTTGCATAGATGGAAATATAGGCTAGAGAAATGTGTAGATATAAGTCTTCATCAATTTCTGTAGTCTCTTCAAATATCTTGTTGTTTATGTGCAACAATTTAAATGTGAAAAATGTTTTGCGCGCTAAATAGCCAATAGTTTACAGAAAAGTAGGTATACCTATAGTTTAAACATTTTTTTGAAAATGTTCTTAGTATACAATAATGTAAAAATTTTTAATTCAAATAATTAATTCTATGATTCATTAGTTATAATTTTATAAATCGTAATGATAACATAACATCAAATTGACGAATAGGAAAAGCTCATAAAAAGATTTTAATCTTAATTTTTTTGAGGGACTCAATAGTAAATTATTTAAAGTTCAACACAAAAAATGAAGTTTAAAATGTCGCGACTTAAAAAAGTATTTTTTTTCCTAAAAAAAATTTAAAACTTTTTTTATTTTAAATAAACGTATCTTACTTTAAATTTCAGCCAACAATACAATTTTCAAATGTATGTTAACAAAATGTGTAGCCCTCTGAAACAGTGACTAAGTTCCACCCGTAGGACTTTAGCATACAGCTAACAGTAAACAGTGTTAATAGCTTAAGCTACAGTGCTACACCATAATATTAATAAAAATAACCGATATGAGCTTGTTAAAATATCTTGAGGAACTTCAGAAGATCCAGGGAGCTTAGCCACCCCTCCCCCTGCTTATTTTGTCACTGGTTTCACTGTTAAAAATTATAAAACAAAAAAGGCAAAATATGGCCCAGTCAACAAAAAAATATTTTTTTAAACTATTTTATGATCAATTTTGACCAAAAATTAACGGTTTTATAAATATTTATTAGACATATACATTCTTGTGCTGATTAGGATGGACTACAGCCTCAGATAAGAAATGCAGTTAAAACAGACATTAGATAATAGTTTTGATTTTTCGTTTATTAAAGAGTATTCTGTGTGTCAAGAGATCTGTGGTCCCTAGTAATAAATTAAACTATGAAAGCAAAAAATAGTTTATGAGACGGTCTGAAGAGTGTAACTATAGTATAATGTAAAAAATGCTCAAGTTAATAAAAGAAAGTTGTAATTAATCCAATTAAAGTTTTATTTTTTGATTTGTTTTACAGGTTAATTAGATTGTTAAATGTACCTATTTTATAAATGATGCGAGTGAAGTCTAAATGAGTCCGTGTTATGGACATATTTAAGTAGTATAACATAACTACCATATTAAATTGTTTAATACTATTACCGTTTATTGTTTAATTAATTATTGTAAAACTAGTTTTTTTATGTAAACTATAATTAAGGTTTTAGTTTTATTACATTGGCATCAAGATATTTTCGATATCACAAACCACGTTTTATATAAACAAATTACACAATGTAATGACAACTGAAAAAGTGCTGAAGAATCGTTCGTTGGAATACTTAACTTAATTTAAAACACACTCAAATATTTAATATAACTAAATTTATATTTATTGTTTAAAAAAATATGCTTTATTATTAGGTATTAATGTGATTTGAACTAATACAAAACACATGTAACCGACAGTATAATAAATATTTAAGAATATCAATATTATTTAAATAGTATATTCAACTATGTAGCTATCTGCGTAATATTCAGAGAAACGATGTATATGTATTTGTTAAAAAAATTATATACTTACAATTTTTATAGAGTAAACATAACCGTACTGCGTGTGGAGTCATAGGAGTGTTTGATGAGAGAAAATGTCTGCTAATGACAGAATATTACATCTGATAAAATTGTCTCCCACCCTTGTTCTGTAAAATGTTAAAAAAAATCATATGCTGTAAGGCAAGACACATAAGTCCTTTTTACTCAACGGTTACGGTCAGTGTTAGGGACCAACTCATAAATATGCTATCCTATGCCAGTGACATTTACACCCGAATTCTTCGAACAGATATTCTACATGTATAGAATACGGCCCACACCATTTATATTATAAGGAATACTTGCATGTGAAGCATTTTTACAGTAAATGAATATTCAGCACTTATTTAACACGGTCTAATGCCACATTATTTTCCTTTTTGTATGCAGTACAATTTTACCTTTTTAAAAAAAAACATATCGGTCTTCAAAATCGAAATCGTATGGTACAGAATTAAAAAACATCTGCTATGTGGGTATAAATTATTTATAATATAACATAATACCTCTGAAAGACATTTTGTAACATATTACAAACAAAGCATTAAATGGTGAACCTGTACTATGGTAGTAATCGGGTTTTCGGGTTAAAATTTAACAATAAAAGTTTAATCGCCCTCTAAATTTGTATGTATTTAAATATTATATATACATACATATTATACGAACACAGGACACTAATTATATACTTTGTTAAAACAGATTTACCCTAGTCCCATAAGAAGACATATATTGTTATGTTGTTTTACCTTACACTTTGATTAGGTAAACCTTTATATGTCAAAACGGTAATCATAATACTTAATCATAATAATTGGAGAGCTATATTTCAATACATTATTTTTAATTATAATTTCTAGTGTTATTTAATTTAAATAGAAGTACAATAATTCTGTACTTCTATTAATTATAATATTCCCTCGGGGGAACGCTAATCTAGCGTGACGGGTATGGCGAACCCGGGGCCCCGAGCTATGAACTAGACTTGCTTTAATTAGCTGGTCCAGTTCTCTCTACTCTGACCTTAATTGGTTGGAGTAGACTGACCTTCCAAATTGGGGGTTAAGCGCAGAGCTAACGACCCTGCCTTGTAAAAAAAACTAACGTTCAGGACTCAAACACCAAGCCTCGGACTAGGGAGGGGTGTTTGACGGGATGGTCCTAACGGCCGTTTGCCCGAAGAAGAAGAATTAATTATAATATAAATAAGAATTATGTAAAAAAAAAATAACATGAAACGACATATTGCTTTTAGCGAATGACTGATATTCTAATAATGCATAATTAGCATTAGCACTTACATAGTAGAGATTTACTTAAGAATCTTTAATTTTGATATCAATTATTTTCCTACTTGTTACTAAATGTATTTCCAAAATAACATAAAATATATGTAACTTTTTATGATATAAAAATACTTTATGAGTAATGACAATTATTTTATTAAATACCCGTTACACCTAATTTGTAATGTTTAATTTTTTTAAATAATTACTTTAGTCTTTAGCTATTTGAAAAGCTAATACAATTTAGGATAATTTATATAATTATATTAAAAAACAATAATGAGCATTTTTTAACAAGTACCTGAGATCATTAGACTAAAAACTGTTTTGTCTCATTTTGTCATTAACACTTAGCGAAATTACTAATAGGCTTAACATATTTTAAAAAAAAATTCATAATTATTTATGCTTAGCATAAATCTGAATAAAACTTAATTATGTGGGTTGAACGCCTAAAAAACGATCAGATGTGCATTTAGCATTAACAATATTTGAAAGATAGTATTTTAATTTTTAGGTAAAATAATTGTTATTATTGTCTTAATAACTCGTTTATTATATAATTGATTTTCTCCATGTCTGCTCAATTTTAAAGGTTTTATAAGCTCAGTAGTTTTTATAAATTAATGAATAAACTTGAAGTACTCGTCTGAGCACAAGTACGATATTTGTATACAAACATTACACAGTATGATTTATCCTTGTAAATTACTTCAAAGTTCAATTCAAAGATTGACATTGTTTTCTCGTTTTTAACCATGAAATTGTTTCGTATCACCTTTGCACTTAAGATAACTAAGATGGTTCATGCGAGTATGATGATTCAGGATAAGACACTCATTTGCTTATAAAATAATATAATTTTTTTTTTTTTTAGATCCTTTAGTTTGTTATTTTACAATATTATTTTTTTCAGAGCTCTATTAATTTTTAAACTTAAATGGTAATGCATGTATTAAATCAATTTAATTAAAAAATAATTTTTTTGAAACAAACTAGTCGATAACCAGTTTTAGATAATTATTTTTTAAGTTATTATATATTATTACTTATATTTGCGCGCATTTGGCATTACTTTACCCACCTCCCATCCTAAATTTCAAATTTATAAACTAAAAATAACTATCAAAACTGGTTATCGACCAGACAACATGTTCAGCGCATTATAGTTAATCAAAAAAGTTAATAAAATATGTACGTTCCATTTAAGTTTCAAAAGTTGATAGAGATTTAGAAAATACTAAAAAAGGTAAATATTTAATAAATTTATAGTATTGTAAAATATTATAGACAAAAATATTATCAAGAAGAAAAACTACAAAAATAGAAATTATTTTAAGAAAACATTAGTGTTTTATTATTTTGAACCAACCTGTATATACACATCTACAGGGCAATTATTGGAATTAAAATTAAAATTTTATGACGTCAATAATTTCACAGTTATCGGTTAGTAAAAACCCAAACACAACAAACTGTCCTCGATTGTAGATGTCATCATTAAGAAAGCATCAATACCACTCACTAGAAACTAAGGTTTTTTAGTGTTCCTCCTCCGGTTCTCTACGGAATACGGATGCTCATGAAGGGGGGGTGAAAAAAGGTTTTTAGTGTATATTTAGCTATTAATAAAAAAAAAAGTTTAAAAGTTTACATACATGTTGGATAACATATTTTTGAATAAAGAAAATATAAACTATTGAATAACGTTAAATGTACTTTACTATACCTATTGATATATTCATCATTGGAACTTACCTATTAACCTATAGTTATAACTTATACCGCTATTGTTGTTTACTGATATATTATGATATTGTCGGTCATAAAAAGGAAGATAATAGAAGACATAAAAATTCTCTTCTAGTATTTTAGTAGTGATTCTATTATTAAACTTACTTATATAGATCAATAGAAATTATGAAATGTGTAGTACTTTAGTATTTCTTTAATTTATAATAATTTCGAACATAAAACATATGTGGCTTGGGTCAAGAAAGGTTCATCATTCATCTCCCTTTTTTAGTTTTAAATAAATGAGCTATAACTTTTTTTTCCATAAATTACAAGTCTCCAACTCTCTTGAAATTACTCTCGTGGGAAATTTATTTATTGTAATAAAATCTTCTAATAAATAAAAAATCTTCTCACTCAGGAAAAGCGGTTAAATTACTAACTCAAAACCGTTAAAAAAGGAAATTGAAAGCTAAACTTTCTATAATATTTAAAGAGGTAGTTTATTTCCAAAAAATGAACACGTGCAGTATGCAATTTTTTCTACTCATCAAGTTTTGGACGATTTTTATAAGTAACATAAATTGAAACTTTTTAGAATAAATTTACTTTTTTTTTCTAGATATTATTTTATATTATTAAAAATTAATTTTATTAATTATTCTTAAAATGGAAATTATCTTGGTTCTGATGTTTACTAACCGCTTTAAGAACTGTAGCGCAGTTTGTACTTATATTAAAAAAAAAAACATAAACATTACTATAATATACACTCGTATATTTCCACAGGAACTTAAAGACATTTGGAGGGGCTAGGGCCCAAGGGAAAGGGTGGGGGTTAAGTGCCACTGCTCGAGAGTGTAAAATCCGCTTGTACTCTCGTCTCAATGAAAAATATTCACTTTCCTTTTGGATTTTTCATGTATTTCTGCCTATGGTCTACTACTAGACTGAATGCAGATGGGTATAATTAAAATAATAAAATATTATGTACACATACTTTGTATACATAAAAAAAATATATAATATATATTTTTTAAGTACATTTGGAGTACATAGGTAAAGTGTCAATTTTACAACAATTATTAGCATGTAGTACCTATATTGTGGTGTTTTACTTGTGTGCATATTATGCGCTTACCAATACCCTACGCAATAGCCGGCGGTAGGAATATGGTACACAACAAAAAACCCGTGTTCATGGAATCGCTGTAAGTGTATAATGTATGCGAATGATTTGTATAATATGTACCTATAGTATGAACTATGATTTGTACTATATATATATACTATGATTCATGATTGTATGTGCGCGTTTTCACGGACATTGGTCAAAGCGGTTTTTAAAAAGTAAGGAGGTAGCCGCCGCGCCGCGACGGTGGCCGCATCGGCAGTTAGCGGTAGAAACGTGTTCGCGATTAACCTTTGGCCAGCGGCGTCTTGGCTCAACAACAATAAAAACATAAAACGAGCACATTTGTTACTTTTCCCGTTTCGGCCGACTGGTCTTCAAACGCCCCGCGGGTATCGAAACCATAGTTTCATTTTTATTAATTCGTAAATTATTAGTACTGTTTATTTTTGTTCCTTCCCGTCAGTAAGACGACATCGTTCGGACTCTCCGGCGTACGTTCGAAATTGTGTTGTACAATATTATTATCATCACGTCGCGGCAACGATAACATAATAATAAAAACAATAACAATATTATATTATTTTGATGATGATAACGACGTCGTTCGGGCGAAATGCCGGCCAAGCGATCGCCCTGTCCGTCGTGGCGGCGTTGTTGTCATCGTGTCCCGCCGCAGCCGCGCCTCAATCCGGCAACGACCAGAGCCCAGTGATCACCGTGGCCGGCGAACGCTGCAAATGCGTTTTGTTCTACTTGTGCGACGCCTCCATGACCGTCAACGTTGCCCTGGGGTAAATAAGATTGCAATAATAATAAATAGCAATACATTGTCGGCTCTATAGTGCTGTGACCGGTGCACCCGCAATGGGTTCGCGTATCAAGTTATTTTCAAACTTTGGTTATAATGTCAACGGCAAAGTTTGAAGTAATTTAATTTTAACATGTATATTACGCAGAAGCGGTGTGGGAACTAAGTTCAACCCGGGAAAATGGAAATATTATTTACCTACTTAAAAAAAAATTGGACATGGTGAGATTGGTGGCTATTGCCATTTCCACTAACAAGTTACAATTATGACCCCGTCTACTTTATAGGTGCGAACAAATTTATCAATATAACATCTCATGTTTTAGTGACACCTGTATTAAAACTAAAAACAGAAGATTTAAAAAATGCACATGTATTTTTTTTCATCTATACCTTATCAATTCACTACACCGAACATATACATTATTTATTATCTATGACACATGTGTCCAAATAGAGCAGTAGAGTGTAGGTTTACTTAAGCTGAAACCTAACTACTTAAGCCGAGCCTGACTAACCGTGTGTTTTGACTTAGAATGCCCCCCAGGCCCCATATATATATATATATATATATATATATATATATATCTGTTTTTGGAAGAGATAATAAAAAACTAATTAGCACCATTAGAAAATATTTACAAGTTACATTTATATATTGTCCTATTTTATTTATTTATCGTATGGCATATAGAGACACGTAACATACATACAGTATACTGTATATATAAGTTATAACATAGAATAAAATAAAAATTTAATTACATAACATAAAACAAATTGTCCTTAAACTTATAAAAAACAATTTGGCGGTAAAATGTATAGGAATTTAATATACAGGTACTCCGGAAATAAAAACAGTAGTGTTTTGTAATACGAGTCACCGTGTTATTTTGAGAGACCTTGAGTGAGTTATCATAAATTTAATTTGTATTCATTTTTTTAAATTAATACAATCGATATTTATCGGTATTTATATATTGTTTATAATTATAAGCTATTAATTTAATGATACAAATGTGATCAAGACAAATTAAAGAGGGATCTCGTACACGGGACTAAACATCACTCATTTAAAACGATATCAATTTTGTGTATTTGGGAAATTTTACGATTATTAATTATGTACAATAAATAATACCTAAAGTTTGATGTCAAAGTAAATCAATCATTTGATAGTTAATAGTTCAGTTCCACAATACTCAATGGCGAACACCTAAAATATATTGAGTACTATAAGTATAATAATAAGTTATATAATATAAGGTATACTATATAACACTATTTAACTAACTATAAATTTAAATAAAATTAAATCTTCATAAGTAGTTAATTAATCATCTGACACAAAAATCGTCAAGGTTAAAAGTACAAATTTAAAACTGAGAGGTAATTTTGTTCTGGGCTCTTATATCTTTATAATTTTTTTAAAATAAAATATAATCGTATGCTTTTATTACATGATGATTCCAGTATATAATGTCTTTTACTAAATGTGCAAGTACGATATAGTGCAAATATCAAAAGTAAAAAATTAAAAGAATATTGTTTATGAGCTAACTACTAAATATAAACTTTTTTTGTTTGGGAGGGGTTGACTCACGGGACTAAAACAGGGAAAAATACATACTAAGTATTTATAATCAAGGTTATAAAATGTATATAAAATATATATTTAAAATTTTATACATAAAATGTTGATACCGTCAAAAATTTAGCCAATAATAGAGAATATGCGTAGTTATGTTTAGATGAAAAAACCCATGCTGTCAAGGTTGCTGAGATAGTCCGAAAAATAGATTAACTACCAAAAAGAGTCTTAATTACTGAACTAATAATTATACATCACAGTTTAACTTTTAAATTAAGTTTTTACAAAAAATTGTTTATACTGAACACCTTAATAAATAAGGGTTCAACGTCCTTCTAATTAATGACTAAAACTGTAGTGTACATTGTATATTCATTAGGTGACGAGGATTTCTTAATAGTTGGGTAGGTACATGTTAATATTTTTAAAAAACCATATTCGAAGTAAAAAATTAAAAAATTGTATTTTGCATAAACCCTTTTGTTGTATTTCAAACACTGTATTAATAAAATGAACTTCTACTTCTATAGACAAATCAACTGCGTTTTGTTAAATACCAGTGGTAAAATATATAGCTGATTAATCGAATAATAAAACATATTTTAAAAAGAGTTAATTTTCGCTAATACTATTGTATGTACTATTTATCCCATACATTAATTTTTGAAACAAAAATGTCTAACAGAACTTAAAATAGTTATAACTAGAACTTCTATTATTTTTGTCTTTCTACTTTTATTATTGACTTTTTAGTATTTGAAATACGGCAGTACTATTTTTCACTAAAAATAAAAACTGTTTACTGTAGAAATAATTATTTGTAATAGTAAATAATCATAATTTATTTTAATAAAACATTTTTATTTTAGATCAAACGAAAAAGGCTGTACTGACGGCTTAGTGTGTTGTCGTGTAGAAAATAATGAAGGCTCGTCAAGTTCGATCAACATTGATACTTCAACTTCTGAATCACCACCAATCATTGAACAGTCTACACAAAGTTCCACCCAACCAACGAACCATAATCAAAACCAACAGCAACAAAATAATCAAAATCAACAACAAAATAATCAAAATCAGCAACAAAACAACCAAAATCAAAACCAACAGCAAAATGGTAGCGGCAGTCATAGCCAGAACTCAAACAGTAACCTTGAGTGTGGAGTTGGCTTGCCACCACCATCTTCTTACAATGATCAATCAGAAGATACCAAAGTACGGATTACCGGTGCCCAAGGTATTCCTTAAATCGCGATTTTATTAACATTATTGAGATCTAATAAGTATAATTATCTAAATGATTTTATTTTTATTTTCAGATAAAACTCTCACGTACTTTGGCCAATTTCCCTGGATGATTGCCTTATTGAAAGTCGACATCAACGAAGGCACGAGAGTAGATAACGTTTTCCAGTGCGGCGGTTCGTTGATACATCCAAGAGTCGTTTTGACGGCAGCTCATTGTGTTAGGTATATCTTTTTTTAAATTCAATTCTGTATAACGGTTTGGGTGTTTATACTATTTAAATAAATTCAAAATCAAATTTTTCATGTAGCGGCCAAGAGCTGGAACTGATGAAAGTGAGAGCCGGTGAATGGGATACTCAGTCCAGCGAAGGCCAGATAGAGAACTTCCAATTGCACCAAGACCGTCAAATTCTTCGATCGTATGTACATGCCGAACACAACAACGGATCTATGTACAACGATCTAGCTTTACTTGAGCTCGAATCACCGGTCGTACTGGATCAATACGTCAACGTTATTTGCCTTCCAGGCAACGGCAAACACTTAAACTATGACCCTCAGTCATGTGTATCCACCGGATGGGGCAAAGACGACTACGGTTAGCATCGTCATTAATAGTATACAACTATTGTAATGTCAATTGGCTATAGTTTTTTTCATTGCAATGTCATGTTCAGGGCAAAAGGGACGGTATCAATACACGCTAAAAAAAGTTGATCTGACCATGGTACCAAATGACGTGTGTCAGAAACAGTTAAGGACCACCCGGTTAGGCAATTTTTTCCGTTTACACAGCAGTTTCGTATGCGCTAGTGGTGCTAGAGGAACAGACGTGTGCAAGGTAAGCATTACCGACAGAAAATAACCAAACCGTTATAAAAGCACTCTATTTTTGGTCATAGAGTTTTAAAAGGATGTAACGTTAGATGTAACCTATTGGCTTGATAACATTTCATCATATTAAATTTATACATTTTTTCTAGACTTTTTCGAAATTCGAGTCTCTTTATAGTATAATACAATTTATTCATTGTCATATACAGGGAGACGGCGGTGGACCGTTAGTGTGTGCTGTGAAAAATTCAGCTAGGTCAGCGTTGAAGAAATACACTCAAGTGGGCGTCGTGTCGTGGGGAATTGGATGTGGCGATGAACAAGTGCCAGGCGTTTACTCTTCTACCTTAGCCAATTCTGAGTGGCTCAATAAACAGCTAAAGACCATACTAGCCAACGAATATTCATAATTTTTTTTTAGTTGATAGTTTAATTTATAATATTATGCTTATGCTGTTTATATTATTTGTAATAATTATTAGTTATTAAACATATTATATCAGACAATGGTACAGTACTTCCTCGAAACTATAGAAATTAATGTTTTGTTTAACGAACAATAAAGTCAATTATTAAAACAATATCCTCTAATTGATTTATACAACCTGTGTCATGTTATTATGATATTATCAAGTAACATGCTAGGGGTAATCAATTAAAAGTTTAATTTCAATTGTATGTATAGCTACATCCCAAAACTAATGTGATTCTTTCACAACTGTTTACGGAGTGCATGATTATAATCTAGGATTGTCAAACAAACAATTGAATGTTGACTATCTTTTATTGATATGTACACTAAGCATTATCACATAATAAAAGACGGTGTAATAAAAAATTATAGATAGTGTTAAAGTATTACAAGCAATAACTAAGAAAAATATTAGCAGTTCATAAACTATACACACATACCCTCATCCTTTCACAGTCGAGTAAAAAAAAAAATTGGTGATAAATAAAGGTTTTACAATTTAAATTGTTTACACAAATTATTATTATAGACAAATATACAGCCAATGGTCAAGAAAGCGTGACTTTAATATCATACTAACAAAGCACATAATTTTTTTTTTCACTATAAATTATGATATTATGGCGCATATTTTTACTTGACATCCTTTAAAGGCAATGTTAAAAATTGTATATACCTAGTTAGGGTAGGTTAAAACATTAATATTATTACTCAACAATGAATAATAGTTTAATGTTTTGGCCACTACAGTTAATACGTCTATGCTATTTAAATATACAAGGTCTATATTATCCAAAAATGTAGATAAGTCTTGCTAATTTTTAATCTCGATAATACAACCAAAGTACTTTCAAAATATTTATAATAAAAGTTAAATATAAACATTATAATAATAACGATGTAGTTTTTTTCACAAGTTTTAGTTTTTCGTAGCTTTTTTCTAAATTCCTTGTATTACATTTTTTGTGACTAGTTCGTAATGCCTGACTAATGAGCATTGTATGTTATTTTTGAATTCGTATTCTAAAGTGTAAATTAACCAACAAATTCTTAAGTATTAACACGACTCTAAACTTTGTCAAAAAACTCGTAGACTTACAAAATTAAAAGTTTTTAAAATAACTAACCGGAGTAGACTGTGGAAAAAATTGAATTGTTTTCTAGTATTTATCTTAAAAACTAACTTGGTGCTTTTGAAATAAATCCTATACAACTGTAATCAATATAAATCTTAGAAAACATTTTTAAATGTTATGAATAATTGTTACGATTAATATTTTTTAATAAATTATTAGTGAAATATTTAATATTGAGTATTACAAAAAAAATGCTAAAACGATTATCATGTTAAGTATTTATTTTAAATATATTTATAAGGTTTTTACTTTTTACAGTTATTATGGGTAATAATATCAACGTGGACCTATCATTTGAGCTATATAATATAAATACATGTTCGTAACTTTTCAACTGAAATGTCCTGTTCTAAATAATAACTATTATTTCTGAAAATCATTTCAATTATTTTTAATAGTGTATAGAACTAATCACTGTACCTTGAATGGCGCTCGTTAATTATTTTAAAGACGAAGCACCAATTTTGACATTATACATGTAAATTCGATAAATTGGCATTCAGGCGAGCAGGGTTTTTCCCATTAGTAATATTTTTTTAAGTAACCCTCTCTATAAAAGTCGACTACTTCCACAATAAAAAGAAACTATACGTGGTGAACGACCCATACACAATGCTATTATTTGTTTTTTATTTGACTCATAACTTATCGACACGCCTCCTTAATTAGCTTCGAGAAACGTGAAGATTTATGAACACTTAGCAATAAATAATAAACAATATCCAAAGTAGATATATTAGTTGTGTATATTCTCTTTGCACGATGTAAGCTTAATTTACATCATAACTGACTACGTCAATGATAGGTACGATTTTCAATGCCATCGAGCAATTTATAATAACAGCGTAAAGGAAAAATCTGAAACACTCTTGTAAAATCATATTTTAATATGCAAAACGTATTCAATGGCGTACGTTTTTTTTTCTTAATTAAAATAATACCTACACATTATTGTTATTTATCAACATTCACCTATAATGGTTTTATAGTAAAAATCTATTCTTGCTGCTTGCTTATTATATGAACACAACATGTTATATTAAAAAAAAAATCTGATTATGTACTGAACAAGCGTGCCACTTTTTCCCGTTACATTTGTCCTGTGGAATATGTTTAGAGGAAAAACGTACAATTATCATCTTAAAATAAAACAACTAAGCGTATTTCTACAATAACAATATGTTGTAATGGCATTTTAACAGTAAGTGAAAAACACTAAAAGTGCTTACTGTAACTCTAGTGTCTAATTACTAATACATCTACCTACCTAGTTATCACAGCTAATTAACAGGTTGCATTTAATATGGGTATTTAATATGTACACAACAGTAAAACACAAACCATTAAATTAAACGCTGTCTTGGAAAGTATAATAATTATTACCTATATTATATGAAATGTTGTTACCTAAAACTAATCGGTAGTTCAACAATTAATCACTCTACCTAAACAAAAGTTAATATAACTTATAAAAAAACATTCTGGTTCTTTCGTTGCACCACTGAACAAATACAGTTGGAACTTGGAAGTTTGAAGTACAGAATAACCAGAAGAGAAACCTAGGCCGGGACTGACAAGTGTCCGACATTTTGTTTTTGCCGATTAAGTATAATTATCACGAGTTTTCTTGGATTTTTTTATCTAAAGTTTATCTATTAAAGTCTGGTTCCCAGTCACAAAAAAAAACAACAGGCTCATAAAAACCAATTTAATTTGTTTAAAGTTTCCATTCTGGTTATTCAGTATTTGAACTTTGAAGGATTTAGACAATTGATTAAATTATCTGGTCTGAACAAAAATTTGAACATTGAACTTGACTATTTCGTTTGACGTACATTTCAATGATATAGAAATAATTAAAAATAGTTTCAAGTTGAGAACGTCACTCTGAGTGATAATAGCAATAGCCTTTGTCCGGGACTGGGGGTAATTTATACTATATTTGTGAACTTTCTTAACCCAGTTGTTGGAAATTCGCAATGATTATTTTTTCGTTACTCTTGATACAACCGACTGTAATACTTGAGCAGTAAATATTCGAATTTGGCCAATAGCCACTGATCGTTTTCCATAATCGCACTACACAAACGTCCCACTCCGCCGACATCTCCAAGGACTCACAAAGCCGTCGGTTGGCATACATTAATAATATGATTAATTTGATACGTATAAAGAATATGTATATAAGTATATTTTAACATGCCGTATATTTTGTGCTAGTGTTTGCCGGTTTTTCTGGTTTACGGGTTGCGCTTACCTATACCACGGGTGAGGTTCGCTCGTGCCTGACCCAAAGTGTTTACAACAATATTGGTCTTGAAATACTATAATGAACAATAATTATATTACAAACGATGCATAAGTAGCAGGTACGCGATTGTTGGACGAACGCGCTAACGACCTTTACCAATTCTGTTATCACCGAGACGCTCTTGTTCGCCATATAGCCTAGGGATATGCTAGGTGTATAATAATTATTATAATATAAACAATGATAATATTATTTTAACCGATAACCGAATATGCTGTCTATATGCAATAAGCGTTGGCCGCGCGTTCCATGACAAAAGGCTCTTTCTTAGTGGAAGTGGCCACGAGTGTAATTATACTTGCATACTATAAATGTGTTAGTTCGAATGATTTTGTTTATTTGTTTTTTGATACGATCCGAAGGTCTGGTGGGGATTGGAAATTAATACGATCCGACGTACGTAAGTCAACGTGGTGGGATTTTTCTCTGGTACACACGCTATTATTATTGTATGGACGTTTGCCGGCCCCTACCACAGACCATGGACTCGGACCAGCGAGATAGGCCGCGATAAACCCGAAAGTCACCAGCACCGCCGCGCAGTGTTGCGATCGGCGCTTTTTCTCCGTCTTTCCGACCATTATCACTGTTATCATCGCCAACATTATTATTATTGTTATTATTATTCAGAAAATATATTTTTGCAATATACCTTAACGTCTTGCCCGCGCACATCCGAGCAGTGCCGTCGTCATGCATCCAGTCCGAAGTCAACCGACGTCGCCGCCGGTGAGTGTTCGTCGCAATTGACAATGTGACAACATCTATCTTAATACAAATAATAATCTGATCTAAGGGGGGGGCGTCTCTAATACCGCAGATAGTGCTGTCGGCGCGCATTCAGTAAATAACAAATAATAAGTATAATATAGTCGATAGTGGTGTATTTAGGAAGTGTGATGACATAATTATTTGTCTTGCTCTTGCTTAGACCAAAAGAGCTTAAACCCCACACCCAAGGTATAGATAGCAGTTTTGTCTTGCCGACGTCTGTCTGCATCAAATATTTAAAAAACACATTTACAATGTTTTTAAAATATTAATTTTATACTTTGCTGATCAGACACTAGGTCAAAGATTAATTATCATTCATTTGTACGAATGAATGCATTTTAGTTGACCCCAATCTCCAATTGTGTGGGATGAGAAAGAAAAAAGAGTGTTTCTACTTTTAATTTGTATTTTCTATTTACTAACCGGTCGTTTTACACAAAATGACTGTAGTACAAAAAACAACCACATTTCGTTTAGATTTCTTGTTATATGCATAATTTGACTTTTTAGTGTTAATGTAACCAGTTATGTATTTTGAGCTTTATTTTTGAGTAGGGGAGGGGGGCAATGAATAATTTTCGATGTCCGTTGTTGGAAACTGGGTTGACTTTGGTATTATAGGGTGTCCCAAAAATAGCGCAACTTTTAACATGGTTGCGCCAGTTAAACAGTTGTGCTATTTTTGGGACACCCTTTATTTATTGATATTAGGTGTACAATTTGGCTAAACTTTATCATGAAATCGTATTTGCAGTATGGTGAAAAAACATTTTCCACAGTGTTTTTATTATGTTAATAAAATGCTATTACTTATGCTTACTCGACGATGAAAATATATCATTAAAAACCATTTCGTCCTAAAACTGTTTTTAAACAATGTAAAATGGGGTGAGATCAATTACTATTCAATAACTTAATTGTAATATATATTGTATAATTTATTCAAATAAGTTATAAAAAGTATTTTATTTTCAAAAATGTTATCTTAGATATATATATATATATATATATATATATATATATATATATATTTACACATATATATTTCAAATATCATAAATTTGTTCAGCACATCCTTCTCACAAAACAAAAACAGAGCTGTCAGCCAGCTTAAAAACTAAATTTCACTTATATGTTTTCTTATATGCAATTTGGGGGGGGGGGGGGGATTGGGATATTTTTTTTACATTTCAAATGATTTTAGAGAATACTGCGCTGTTTTTTTTTCTTTACCTTAACGAAAGTTTACATACATAAAGAAAGTAATAATATATTATTATGTTTATATTTTATGTTGCACCGAACCTTGTCCTACTATTGGCAACAGACAATTAAACATGGTGTTTAAAAAATATGTCTGAAAAAACCCATGAATCATATTATTAGGTATATTGAATAATTTTGGATGAGGACTGTTCTTATGGATCCTGTCGATTGTATATTACACCATGTTAAGTCAATCTCAATAAATTAGCGAAACTATAATTTATGTACTGTACATCACATAATCTTTTAGGTGCCATTCGTATGTTTTATTGCAATGTAAAATTATTCATGTAGGTCAGGTAACATTACAATTTGCAAATAATAATAAACCCGTACAAACATATTTACGTTTACGAACATTTAAGAAACGAGTCAAGGCTACGTTGTCTTATCTAAATTTGTCTTGTATAATATATGTATACGGCTTTCTTAATAAATATAAGGTGCACAGCTCAAATAAACCTTATTGTTTCGATTATTCAAAACTCGTTTCGTCGTAGGTAAACTGTAATTCGCTGAATTGTATAGTCTCGTACCTAATTTAAAGTCCGATTTATTTACATATTATATACATTTATTTAATATTAATAAATAATACCAATATAAGAATTTAAGACGGCTATCTACTGTGTATAACTATAATACAAGTCAATAAAATGGCCAAGGGTCAATATTACCTCAGATCGAACAACGCATTTGTTTTTAATACGGTAAACCTTAACTCTGTGATGGACTACATTGTTATCGTAAATCTGGTTATCTTACAGTCATCATACTAATTACCGTAGTTAAAACCCTTCAATTACTAATTGATTTAATTATCTTATTTACTTATTACCATAATAGAGTTTAAAAAATCAATATTATATATTATAATTTACTCTGCACATCCGTATCAAGGGAGAAACCTTGAAAATCATATTCCTTGAGTGACAAGTCCAGTGACTATGTGAACTTTGAAGGATTATGAAACGAAAGGGTTAATTTTTTCAATGGTTTAATCTCATTTTTGCTGTTGTATTATCTTTTCACAGTTATTTATTTTATTGGTGTCCGTGTCGACGGTGCTTCAGACGACAATTACTTTGGCACAAACGCCAAGTGTCATTGACGAAGCCATATTAGAAGTTTTCCCGGCGCCACCAGATGAAACTTCGTCGGTCTCACCTAATAGTGGAATAGACAATGGCCAACCAGAACAAGGGGCCTGTACATGTGTACCGTACTATTTGTGTACCAGCAATCAGTCGATTAACACTGATGGCACTGGATTGATCGACATAAGGTTCGTTCCGGATCCTATTAGGTATTAATATTATAATATTCCCAAAATTTTAGTTTCTCTTGTTGGCATTACTGGTTATGACTCGTGCTTAAATTGTATTTATTCATTTTGGTTTCATCAAAAAACATAGTTATTTGACTTAAACATTTTAATTTGAATTAAAATCTTATTAAAGTGTTCAAACTGTTTAAAAGTACTATACTTTTCACTTTTCAAGTTACTTTTGCTTCCAGCTTCTTCTCTGCATTGTGAAATCACAACTACACAAGTGAAATTAGATCTTATTAGATTTAATCCGGTCACTCTACTTGCTTATCCTTCACTATCTTTCTATTTGCTTCACACTATGGATATAGTCATATAGACAATATAATGTCGAAATAAACCGTACTTAAATTTGATTCTTGTATAATATAATTATATCATCAGTTTTAAATTCATAAGCGGAGATCAGAAGATCTTACTAAGAGCTTAGCGCCCAAAAAGAGGCCCCTATTATTATTATTATTTCATAAAATAAAATAAGATTATCGGAGTATTTCTTGGTGCTTATGAATGATTACTGCAGTAGATCAAATTTATATAAAGCATATCGTTTGGTGCTTGGAAAATTTAATACATTTTGAGATAAAAGTTGTAGGGTCCGGTGCAAGAACTAGGGTTGTAGGGTCCGGCTATCTCTATATTATTTTTAAATTGTTCATGGCGGCCAAAAAAAACCATTGTCCAATTTACCATTAATATGCGTTTTGTAATATCTTTGTAGGTAATAGCTGGTTTTACTGTTTGATGCATGAAAATGTAAATAATTTGTCCATAAAAAAAATTGTTGATAATAAGGGGAGATAGCCGGTTCTTGCATCGACCTCTTCAGTTGCTCTTCAAAGAACATATTCTGTAAAAATACATGTTTTAATATTTGTTACCACCGTTAGGCGAAGCCTAAGTGCAGTTTATTTTTTACTTAAGATTCAAGCCCCTCCTCTCTCTTCTGATATTTCTGCCTGTGTCTTAAACTATAACTGCTATCAATTGTGACCAGAATACCCTATTTTATTATAGAGTTAATATTATCAAACATTCTTTTTATAAAAGTTCTAGTTTCCTATTTACAGAATTAAGGATGGTCCGTGTTCCAATTACTTAGAAGTGTGTTGCAATAATCCTATTTCTCCTTCGGAAACGACTACTCAATCCCCAACAAGTTACAAAGAGACCTACGCAGGATGCGGTCATTGGAATTCCGGTGGAGTGGGATTCAGAATAACTGGACATAGCAACAACGAGGCGCAATTCGGCGAATTCCCTTGGATGGTGGCTATACTCAAGGAAGACCACATTAATCAAGGAAAAGCATACGTGTGCGGCGGATCGCTAATCCACCCCAGTGTCGTGTTAACGGCCTACCATTGCTTACACGAGTAATATATTTACATTCAATTGATTAAACCAATTTTGGACAGGCATACACATTAAAAATGTCGTGGGGTCTACTATTTATCACATAAACCTAAGCCCCCCTCCCAGATTTAACCTTAATATTCAAATTTTATTTCAATTCTATAACGGCATACATAGCAGAACATAACGTTTCTAGAAATACTATACTTAACGCGTTCATTTTTTTTTATAATACGATTCATTGAAGCTACAATTCTGTTCTCTAAATTTGGTAAAAGGAAACTACATTAAAAAAAAAAAAAAAAAAAAAATGTTAAATGCAGGTACACATTTTTTTCTGCATTTATAACTAATTGCAAATAAAAATAATTAAACAAAATCGATTATGATTTATGTTATTAAATAATTCTCATAGGATATATTGAGGTGCATATTTTTATTCGAATAATAATTAGAACATCTCTGATAGCAAGTTATTTTTTTTTAAAAATACACCTAACAATAGCTTGAATATATTTTTTTACATTTTAGTTACTTTATTTATAGGCTAAATAGTGTATAGTTCCCTAATTTAGGTCTCCTAAGCCATCGATGCTGATAGTATAACATATGTAAATTTATTTTTTATTTTATTAACCTAGTCATATAAAAGATCAGGCAAAATTGGTAATTCGTGCAGGCGAATGGGATTCGCAAACAGAAAATGAACTTTTTCCGCATCAAGACGGCCGAGTGTTGAAAATAGTGCAACACGAGAAATATTACGGCGGTGCCCTGTACAACGACGTAGCTCTCATATTTTTAAAGGATCCGTTTATGCTTAAAGAAAACGTCGGCACAATTTGTCTTCCCTCACAGGACTTCTACTTCCAAACAGAACGGTGTTTCGCTAGTGGTTGGGGCAAGGACGTTTTCGGTAAGCTTATATGACATTTATAAGTATCTCTGTAAATTTTTAAGGAACATTCATGAATTTAAATTGTGTTACGCAATTCATTGAAGAATAATATTTCTCCTCTTCTTCAGGTGTAATTCCCATTGCATCTATCCTGAGGTTTTCCGCTTCTTTAGCACCCTAGCCACCTCAAATCTTTCTGTATCCTGTCTAGGACGTCCTCCATGTCTATTTACGTTTAACCTATATTTTATTATCACCACAAATTTTCCTACTGATCTCCACACGTGTCCGGTCCATCCTGTTTTACTGCTCTTTAAGGTTCTAACTTCTAACCAAACTATACTTGCTTCTCCATCGTGTAGGTCTTCTAACTTTTTATTGGTTCTTTTCGTTCGTACTCTCTTTCGCTATTCTTCTTTGGTCTCTATACTCTTTTATTTTTATGAATATGATTGTACTTTTTTTTAGGTAAAGTCGGGTCTTACCAAGTCATTTTGAAAAAAGTTGAATTGCCTATCGTACCACGCGTACCTTGTTTAGATGCGTTAAAACGCACTCGACTCGGGCCCAATTTCAAGTTGCACGAAAGTTTCCTTTGCGCCGGAGGAGAATCTGGCAAAGACACTTGCAAAGTGAGTAAAAAATTTATTTCTAGTTGTTAACCATTAGAAACGGCGCATGTATAGACTACATAAAACACATTCACCACCATCAACCATACCTAGAATATAATGAAATCTCAAGTAAGCTATTTTTAACTGTCCCTCTTTCACGTCTTAAAAGTAATTTTAGCAATGACGTAAATTAAAATTATGTATTCGAATTCCTCTCCATATTTTTTGTTCTCCAGCATGTATGTTTTACAACCTTTTCATTTTTATTTTGTTGGCAGTATTAGTTTACCACGTATACCATAAAAGTATACATCGAAACAGATCCCTTAAAAATACTTAACTATCTAGAAAAATATAATTCTACTAAACGATTTATCTACAGACTACATCTAAAGCATATATTTGTATAACCAATATTAGAAACATTTTAAACGTTTAAAACATATTTTGATTTTAAAGCCACAAAAACACCGTTTTAAGTTTGAACTCTTTAAATGGCCTTGTAAGGTACAAATACTCAATTTGACTCAATAGAGAATATACAGTATACCCGTATAAAATAAATAATATCTTGAGACGTTAGTCATCGAGTCTGAGCAATGATAATTATTACATATATGTATGACTGTGTATCCACATAATTGTGTAATTTAAATTTTAAACTATACACTTTGATTTTCGAAGTATACATTTTTAAATATACCTTTGACATAATGCCTTAAAATAAAAATAGTATAATCTCACGATCCGACAACGTTGTCTTTCCTACATAGTACTAAGCTGCATATATTTTTTTAGGGAGACGGTGGTAGTCCATTGATGTGTCCTATGCCTGAGAAAACCGAACAATACCATCAAGCCGGTATAGTGGCGTGGGGAATAGGCTGTGGAGAAGACAAGACTCCCGGAGTATACGTGAACGTCGCCCTGTTCAGACATTGGATAGACAGACAGATGAAAAAACACAATTATGATACAAGATACTACGACTCGAATTACAAAGGAACATATAATTAGACCGGTATATAATAAAACAATTTACCGACGTCTAATTGTAATAAGGAGACAAGTGACACTATTTATTTAAATTTTAACAGTATTTTTTTAGTTACAAACATATTTTATAATATTATTTATACTAGTTATCACATATTAAATTGTTGATTTTATTCAAAAATGTTATTTAGTATTCAATATTTTTTCGTTTTCCTATTTATTATATTACACTAATAATTATCATGATGTAGGTTCATGTATTGTAATCGCAAAATATTATATTTTTACTTCAATTATACATGTACCATGTACTTGATACATGCGGAAACCAAATTAGTTAAATATTTTCACCTTTTCTAAGGTGAAATAAAGTGAAATTTCAAATTTCTTATCTATGTCTGATATACAAGTATTCGTATGTATAATGATAATTTGATATAAAATGTATGTGTTAAATTAGTTGATGTTTGATAAGTAGAAAAAAAAAGGTTTATATATATATATATTTTATTTTCTAATGTATTTGTATATCTATAGTATCATGTTAATAATAACACCAACAAAAACAATACATGTGTGGTATTTAAAATCGATAACACTAAGTTACATTTAAAATAGTATAAATAATAAATTTTCTGTTGTTTATATTGTATATTTTATTACCATACAAATATAAAAAGTTTAAAAATGCTTGTCAGTAGACAACAATGAGTTTTGAAACTCAATAGTTAAAAATATTATAAAATATAAACAATAAGGCAAACTTCTAGAGCTTATCAATTATATATGCTCAATGTATCAACTATATCAAAGGAACTTGAAATTATAATTGTTAATGTTTTTGTAATATATAAACCTCATTAAATAGTATTTATACCAATGACCCTAACTTATTAAAAACTATGTAGTTATGGTAAATCCTAATTCACTATATTTGACCTAGTTTTCCTTAAAAAAATTTATATTTTATGGTTCATTAGTCCCTGGTCAAAATAATAGCTCAAAATAAAATAATTGCTGGCAATGTTTATTTTACAATGTACAACAGTAGTATATACCTACTGTAGAGTTTTATTGCTTTTTGTATCCCGTATACCGCATCCCATCTGTTTAATTATTTACTTATGATGAAATTTATTTGAATCATTGCGATGTACTTACGTAGCTGAATTTTATATACGTTTTTATGTTGAACTTTTACACTTGTTTTTTTGTTATGGAATGTTTTTACACATCATTAGTTACCAAAAGCGTTTGAGGTTATCCTTACCAAATTTTTAACACAATTTTTGAGAACCATGAATATTTTATCGAATATTTTAAAAATGTTAGCAATCTTTTTACTATTAATACAAGGTAATGTCGTTACAAAATATTTAATAGTTTATTTAAAATATCATAAAAATTACATTTATAATATAAAATATTGATTTGTACAATCAATTTTGCCAGGGCTTGCAGTGTCTAGTAAACCAATTATGATGACCGCACAAACATATTTAGAGAATGGTAACTATGCTTAAAATTTTAAATCATTAAATTTATTATTGTAACTAACTTTTGTGAACATTTTATTTTTCAGTGAAAGGTATGTACCTAAAATATTTTCTAACATTATTATCTTAGTTTCCACAAAATATTGGTTGGTAGGTAAACCGTAAATGCAAATTATATTTCTCTAATATGATATGGGGTTAAAACAAAAAAGTATTTTGGTTTAATTTTATTTACCTCAATTTACTAGGACCTAAATATTATTATAGGGCCTATTTTAATTGGCTGTAAATGCTTTGATTTAAATCTGCACACGCTTATAGTCAAAAAACACATTTAACATTTTCATAAAAAGAGATTTCTTTTATTTTGGTGTAATATATTATTTAGAGAATGAAGAAAAATATCCAAGACCATACACTACATATGTAGTGTATAATTTTTGTTAGCATTTTTTATTATGGTAGTCGACGCTTACTGGACTCACTTTGGGACCAAAACATTTCCTAGTAATCTTTGAGAAACATTCAAGTATTCAACTTAAATTATAAATTCAACTCTACTACTTCCAGGTAAAAATAACCTTATTTTAGACACAAATTAGCGGCCACTCTATAGTGTCGTCGTTGATCCAATTTACCAGTGTAGTGAGAGCTGTGAGACAAATAAACGATTTTTTTTTTTAAATGTTAATATACGTGCGACGATTTGGGCCCAGACTGTTTTGTCTATAAGACTAGACGAATGAGTCAACAATCCGTGAATTCAAAAAACGGCGACTACTGTATTTATTATGTTAATCTAAATGTCTTAATATTTTTTTTACTTTCATAGGAGTAATTGATAACTCCTAATATAAAATTACAAAAATAAAAATTACAATAGTATTTTATAACTTCTCTTTTTATGTTTAATAAATGTGTTTTTCCCCCTTTGTTTATTACATTAAAACAAATTAAATTGCTTTAGTAAAATTTAAATTGTATCTAAATTTATTTTTTTATTTTATAACTATACTAAATTAATTATTAATACTTCCTAGGTATGTTAACTAAAATAAAAATTGAAATTGATATGGAATGTGTAATATCTAGTGATGGGAAAATCCGGATTTTGAGAAGTTTAAAAAACCGGAGTTTTAAACTTAAAAATCCGAAATTCGGAGTTCAAGTTTTCGTTATAAATCCGGATTTTATGGTTCTCGCTATAAATTCGGATTTCAGAATTTTCGTTATAAATCCGTAGATTTGTATTTACCATTGAAAAATAACATTAGTACTTAATATTGTATATTGCATATAATTATATATGCATATGACTAAATTTTGAATACATTTAACGAAGTTACCGTGGTTACAATTTACTATCTACCAAAGTTACCATAACAATGGTAATGATTACCATAGTTTCCATAGTAGTGGTTACCTACGGTTGTAGTTACCTAGGTTACCACAATTGTGGTTACTAAGGTTACCACAGTTGTGGTTACTAAGGTTACCACAGTTGTGGTTACTAAGGTTACCACAGTTGTGGTTACTAAGGTTACCACAGTTGTGGTTACTAAGGTTACCACAGTTGTGGTTACATAGGATACCATGGTTGTGGTTATTTAGGTTACCACAGTTGTGGCTACCTAGGTTACCATGGGTGTGTTTACTTAGGTTACCACGGTTGTGTTTATTTAGGTTACCACAATTATGGTTACATACGTTACCACGGTTGTGGTTATTTAGGCTACTACAGTTGTGGTTATTTAGGTTACCACAATTATGGTTACCTAGATTACTACGGTTGCGGTTACCTAGATTATCACGGTTGTAGTTACTTACGTTACTACGGTTGTGGTAACGTAAATAACCATAACAGATTTTTACTTAAGGTGGTATCACAGCTACGTTGTCTGTCGTGTCGTGTGTCTTATATCGCCTTCTAATTGGCCGTTGTAATCACGGTATCATTGAGTAACCATGACCTACCGGGTTTTTGCTAGAGTTGAGCTGAGCTCAACTTTTGTATCGTGTGGTATAGGTGGTTAAAGTGTGGTAACCGCGGTCAATTGATTTTTTATCTACTATCAATTTGAACATACTTATTACTATCACTATATGCATTAAATGCCGGTTTGTCATTGATGGGCCGTATACGGTATATTTATAAGAAATTATTTTATCAAATTTAAATTTATTTCGCGAGTACTCTATGGCATTCACTGATTAAGTAACCACGATCGATAATTACCAAATTGGTATTAAATAGTTACCATTAGTAACCTTAAGTGGCCATGCCCACTTCTTAAATCGCACGACACGACAGACGACAAGGCTATTATCAGCATATATAAGCATATTATTTATGTTATAAATTCTAAAAAAAGACAATACTCAAGTTTATATATTTTTTAGTATTTCTTAAAGCTTTATAAACTTTTGAAAATAAAAAAAGTAACATGACATATTTTAATAACTTTATAAATAAAAAATAATTTGCTGAAAAAATTGACTGACCAACTATCACCTCCCGTCTTAAGTAAATTAGCCAGTTAAGTTTTAAAAGTTGATAGAACTCTAGAAAAAGAATAAAAATTTGAATATTGCCCAATATTGTAAAAAAAGAAAAACTACAAATTTAGTAGTATTTTAAGAGAAAACTAGTGTAGCGCCTTAAAAGAATCATCCAGTATATTGTTTATTTAGTTTTTTTTTTCAATTTTTACTTTAATTAACAAATAAAATAAATCAATTCCTCTATAAGTAAAATAATTTTCCATTCGACCACACTTTATATTCCGTTTCAAAGGGCGACGCATCTCCCATTTTTAAGGAGTAAAGTATAGGCAATTTATACAAAATCGTAATTTTATGCTTAAACTGTGATGTGTAATTGTTAGTTCAATAAATATACCTCTATTTTGGTAGTTAATTTATTTTTCGGACTATCACAGCATCCTTGAAAGCGATTTAAAAATGTTTTTTCATCTCTACATTTTTAAGCAGACTAAAAATAACTCGTTTAATTTTGTTTGTATTGTGTAAAACTATTAATATACAGATTTATAGAATTAATATGTTCATTAGAAACATAAAACTCATTGTAATTTAGTTGAAGGGATCCGATAATAGTATTTCATAGGGGATTAAAAGTCAACTAATTTAAACAAAACAATGAGGTCATCTTGTAAGCACTGCTGATCTAGTAATTACAAATTGGCTTTATAAACTTCAAACTTTGAAATCCAGATTTCTTGTTAATTCCGGATACTTCATGAACCCGTTTTCTTTGTAAAATCCGGATTCTCCGTAAATCCGGATTTTTTTTATTGAACTTCGAAATCCGTAAACCAGATTTTACAAATTTTAAGAAAATCCGGATTTATTTCCCTTTACAAGTAATATCACATTTATCAACATTTTAATTTTTATATGTTTTATTTCCAGATATTCATTTCCCATATTTGTACAATTAATTACCACAATGAAACATCAAGTATGTAGGTATAACAATTTGTGTTATTAATTTTTTAAAATTATAATGCAGTATTTAATTTAATCACAATGTTTGTTAAAAGTTAATGTGTTTTTAATATTTAAATTTATTATTTTTTAAATAAAAATATATTTATAATTTTTATTTTTATTACAGTAAAAGGGCAAGGTTTACAATTTTTATTTATTAAAAATTATTTCTTAAATCTTCTTCTATTAATCAAAAATCATTATAATTTACAATTTTCTCAGGTGTTTCAATATATTATCATACCTTGTAATGTGAAATTGTATTTGTTTAATATA